AAAGAAAGAAACACTGTGGCCAGATAAACTAATGTGCCTCACATCTCTTTTGTTTATTTTCTTTTTTTTTTTTTTTTTGGTTACTCCCAAGATACAAACCTCTCCAGCTATCTATCTGGCTCCTGTTTTCCTCACACACTGTTCTGTGTTCCTTGCCCCCAAACCCCAAAACTGCTACTGTCTTTAAGCTTTCACTATTTTTAATCATATGAATAAAAAAGTAAAAGTGGTACAAAATGGGTACTTGGTAAATATAGTCATGGATCACTTAATGATGAGGATACAGTCTGAGAAATGCATCCTTAGGCGATTCCATCATGTGCTAACATTATACCGTGTACTTGCACAGACCCGATGGTACAGCCTGCTGCACACCTAGGCTGCATGGCATAGCCACATGTGACCAATGTTGTACATGTGATCCATTGTTGACCGAAAGGTCCTCGTGCAGTGCATGACTGAATTTGAAGAAATAATGAATGAATATGTAAATCTCCCCACCAGTGTAAACAAAGGGCCCTCAGATCACAGAAAAGGGGAGTGAACAGATGTCCACAGAATGAGATGAACGCTCTCCTGGGCTATGAAGGTGGTAGAGTTACAGAGGTAGTTATCTGACAGAGGGAACAAATTAAACAAAAGCAGAGAAGAGTTATACTATGTGGCATGTACCATCTTCTCTAAAAACAGCAGAATCTGGCTCTTGTATGGCACTGTGAGCCCCCTGCATCCCATGATAAGTAGAAAATCTGGATAAAACACAAAATACAACTCCTCAAGAACTCTGAGAGCAAATAAAAGACAGCAGACTATACACGCAGGGAAATCAAGACTGGGAGAAAGTTCTGCCATTGCAATAACTTCCCTTTCTTTTTCCAGCTTGGTCATAAAGGCAGCCACCCCGGAGGCGTGGTGTGGCAGCACCAGTGACCAAGATCCTGAAGGAAACCCTGCTGCATTCTGCCTAGAGGAACCAGGAAAGGAGCCCAGGCAGAGCAAAGGCTGCAGGGAGAACCCCAGAGGGGAGAGAACCCAAGACCCTTCTTGTTTTGTCCATGCACCTATACATTCTCAGCATGTGCAAGACAGACTCAGTGCAGGAAAGGCTTAAAAAGGGAACTCAGATTTGAACCAACAGCAGGCAAGTCGGAGTCTACTATCCAAATGGAATTATAAAAAAGAACCCAGAGTCAACACAAGAGAATATTCACAATTTCTAAAATACAATCCAAAATTAATTGATAAAAAGAACCGAAATGCATCCATTCTCAACAGAAAAGATAGTCAACGGATGTCAACCCTAAGATGGCCCATCTCTTAGAAGGATCACATGAGGATCTTAAAACAGCTATTTTAACTATGCTCCAAGAGGTCAAAAAAATACACACGAAATGAAAGAAAAGGTGGGTATCTCAGTACAGAATGCAAAAGTATAAAAAGCACCAAACGGAAATTTTACAACTGAAAAATACAATACCTAAAACAAAATATTCACTAGACAGACTTAGTAGAGGAATGAATAAAGAAGAAGAAAATAAAGCAAACTTGAAGGTCTATAGAAATGATCTGAAGAATTATGAGAAAAGAGATTGATTAAAAATGAACAGAGACTCAGAGGCCTATGGAACAATATCAAAAGGTCTGATGTATGCATAATTGGAATCCCACAAAGAGAGAGAGAAATTGCGGCCAAAAGTATTTGCAGAAACAATGACAGAAAACTTCCCAAATAGGGTGACATAAATGTACAGATACAGGAAGCTCAATGAATCTGAAACAAAATAAATTCAAAGAAAACCACACCTAGACACATAATAATCAACCTGCTGATAACCAATGATAAAGAAAAAAATCTTGAAAGAAGCCAGAAAAATACGACACATTATATATGTGGCAACAACAATTTGAATAACCACTTTCTGTGCAGAAACACAAAAAGCCAAAAGTTACTGTTGAGCAGGAAAGGAGAATCTACCCAGAATTCTATATTCAGAGAAAATACTCTTCAGGAATGCCAGTGAAATGAAGATACCTTCAGATAAAGGAAAACTATCAGAATTCATCACAGGTAGACCTGCATTACAAGATCTGCTAAAGGAAAATTTTTTCAGAGGAAAACTTAGATCTTTAGGGATAAATGGTGAGCATCAGAAATAGTAAATATAAAAAGATCTTCACATTCTTCAGAATATGTATGACTATTTAAAGTAAAAATATAATCTAGTGGTGTTTTCATTACATATTACTTCATATATATACATGTATACATATGTGTGTGTGTGTGTGTGTGTGTGTGTATATGTAAAGTCCACACACTCGTACATCAATATATCACTTCATAATGACAGAAGGGGCATTTCATCAGGAAGACATTACATTTATCAATATGTATGTGCCTAAAAAGAGAGTTTAAAATACAGTAAGTAAAAACAGACAGACCTAAGGGGAAAAAGAAAAAATTCTACAATGATAGTGGGAGATTTTGACAGCCCTATCTCAGCAGCTGATTGAAAAAGACATACAAACAAAACAGTAAAGATATAGACAATGTGAAGACTACTACTGACCACCTTGATCTAATTGAAAGTTATAGAACATGACATCTAAGAACTGCAGAAAATTCACGATTTTCAAGTTTACATGGAACAAACATTTACTAAAATAAACCATAAAACAAGTCTCAATAAATTTAAAAGGACTGAAACCATACAGACTGTGCTTTTCGACCACAACAGAATTAATTTAGAAATCAAGAAGACAGTCAAAAAACTCACCTATGTGGAAATTAAAACACTTCTAAATATTTCCTGGATCAAAATGTAAGTCATGTGAGAATTAGAAAATACTTTGAACTGAATGATAATAACACAGCATACCAAAATTTGCAGAATGCAGCTAAAGCAGTATTTAGAGGGACACAAATAACTTTAAATGCTTATCTTAGGGAGGAAAAGGGTATAAAATCAATGATCAAAGTTTCACCTTAAGAAACTAGAAAAAGAAAAGCAAAGTAAATCTAAAGTAAGTAGAAAGAAGGAAACACTAAAGATGAGACCAGAAATCAATGAAACAGAAAACAGAAAGATAATAAAATTAACAAAACTAAAGGCTGGTCCTTTGAAAAGATCAACAACATTGACAAACCTCTACTTAGACGAATGAAGGGAAAAAAAGCAAGAGAACACAAATCACCAATATTAGGAATATCAGAGAAAAGGGGTTCCCACCACAGACACTACAAATATTAAAAAGGATAATAGAACAGTATGAACAACTTTATACCAACAGTTTGACAACTTAGATGAAATGGACACATTTATTTAAATAAGTATATAAATAGCCATTAAAAAAAGAAATGGCCAAATTTATTAAAAGATACCATTTAATAAAAATGACACAGAAATAAATAAAAAAATTTAAAAGCCCTATCTATATCTACTAAGAAAACTATGCACATTATCAAAAATCTTCCCCAAAAGAAAACTCCAGGCCCAGACAGTTGCACTGGTGAATTTTATCAGAATATTCAAAGAAGAAATAAGGGCCGAGCCTGTGGTGCACTCGGGAGAGTGCGGCGCTGGGAGCGCAGTAGCACTCCCGCAGCGGGTTCGGATCCTATATAGGGATGACCAGTGCACTCACAGCGCTCACTGGCTGAGCGCAGTGCGGCCGGTCTCAAAAAGGACAAAGAAGAAATAAACAGAACCTCACATAATTTTTTTAAAAAATAGAGAAGGGGACATGCACAACTCATTTTATGAGGACACCATAACCATAACCCTAATACCAAAACCTGACAAGGGCACTGCAAAAGAGAAAATTACAGACCAATATCCCACTTGAATATAAATACTAACATCCTTAACAAAATGCTTGCAAATCCAAGAATATATAAAAGGAATCATCATGACCACACAGGTTTTACCCCACGAATGCAAGATTAGTTTCACATTAAAAAAGCAATCAAGGGCCGGCCCGGTGGCGCACTGGAGAGTGCGCCGCTTGGGAGCTCGGCAGGGTTGGGTCCCATGTGGAGACCGGTTCCCGCTCACTGGCTGAGCGCGGTGCGGGCGCAACACTGAGGGTTGCGATCCCGTTGCCAGTCAGTAAAAAAAGACAAAAAGGAAAAAAAAAAGCAATAAAGGGGCCGAGCCCGTGGCACACTCGGGAGACTGCAGCGCTGGGAGCGCAGCGACGCTCCCGCCGCGGGTTCGGATCCTATATAGGTATAGCTGGTGCACTCACTGGCTGAGCGCGGTGTGGGCGATACTACACCAAGGGTTGCGATCCCCTTACCAGTCACGAAAAAGACAAAAAAAAAAAAAGCAATGTAATACACCATAAACATAATAAAGGAGAAAAACAATATAACCAATTAAATACAAGCAGAAAAAGCATTTAACAAAATTCAGCACCAGATAAAACTCTTGGAAAACCAGGAATAAAGGTTATTTCCTCAATCTGATAAAAGGCATCTATAAAAAACTATAATATGATGAATAACTGAATTGTCTTCCCTAATATCAGAAACAAGACTAGGATGCTCATTTTAACAGTTACATTCAAGACTGAACTGGAGGTCCTCGGCTTGTAACAAGGTAAGAAAAAGAAACAGTCTAAAGTTCAGAAAGGAAGAAGTAAAACTGACCCGGTTTGCAGATAACAGAGAAAATCACAGGGAATCTGCAACACTAGAACTAAAAGTAGTAAGTAAGGTTAGCACAGATACAAAACTAACATATAAAAGGCAATTGTATATGAGCAGTAAATAATTGAAAAATACAATTTTGGGGAAAAAAAACCTCCATTTATAACAGTGCCAAAAAACATAAAATACTTAGGAATAAATCTCACCAAAAACATCCAAGAATCATACTGAAAAAATACAAATCATTGAAATTAAAGAGGACCTAAATAAACAGAGACATACCATATTCACAAATTAGATAACTCTATACTATTAAGGTGGCAATTTCTCCAAGCTGACCTACAATCAATGCAATCCCAATCAAAATCTCAGTTTTTCTTTGTAGAAGTTGCCAAGCAGATTCTGTAAATGCAAATAATCTAAAATAAACAAAGCGGTTTTCATAAAGATAAACAAAGTTGGAGAATTCACCCTATCTGATTCTAAGACTTACCATAGAGTGACATTAATGAAGACAGTTTGATACTGAAAAAGATAAAAATCAAGGACTAGAAGAGAGCAACCAGAAATAGACCCACATGTACATGGTCAATTGATTTTCAAAAAAGATGCCAAGGCAATTCAATTATGAAAAGAAGAACTTTTGCACAAATGGGACTAGATAACTAGATATCCATATGAAAAAACTGAACATCTATCCCTAACTCACACCATCTACAAAAATTATCTTCCAAAGGATCACAGACCTAAATGTAAGAGCTAAAATTATAACATTTCTAGAAGACAACAAGAAAATAATTTCACAAGTTGAGCCCAGAATACCAGTTTGAAAAGGCTCCTGCTGGCCAAATCTGAGAAAATTAAATAAATAAGGACACTAATGGGTTATATCCCATTAAATAAAATTGGAATCCATGAATCTGTATTTATGATTTTTTAAAAGCAAATAAGTAAACAGATGGGGGAGAAGGGAGGGTGCTTCCTTAAAATGAGATGTAGACCGAGAAACGCAAAATGAGTGGTGGAGTTAAAAACATTAGTTTGCAACTATCATTGTCAAGACTGGTTTGGTCCAAGAGTTACCCATGAATGCAAAATACAGACGGGTAAGTCTTATGAGAAGTAGGATATATGCATGTCTCAAAGCATCTCCCACATCACTTATTAGTTGTAAAGAAAAAAAATTGGTATTATACTATGGGGAGACCAGACAATCAAAATTACCATCACCAGTGAAAGGCAAATGCGCCCTGTATACTCACATGTGACATGGCAGCCTGAGAATAGTCACTGCAGGAGTGTTCTGGCCAGGGGCAGGTCACCTGAGTCTTGTCATGAGGAAATGTAAGACAGACCCAAACTGAGGAACATTTTCTCAAAAGCATCAATGTCATGAAAGACAAAGAGAGCTTGAGGAATTGTTCCAGATTAAAGGAGACTAAAAGGACACATCGACTATATGCAGTCCGTGAATTCCGGGCTGGATCCTGTACTACAGGGCGAGAAAATGCTACAAAGGACATTAATGGGACAATTGACAAAACTGAAATTGGGCTACAGATTAAAAATAAAAGCTCTGAAGTTGATAATTGTATTACGGTTATACAAGAGAACATTCCTTTTCTTTAAAATGTACACTGATATATAAAGAGGTGAAGGAATGTGATATGTACCACTTATGCTCAAATGGTTCAGAAAATAAATAATATGTATATATATAGGAAAGAGGGAAAGAATAAAAAAAGGCAATGTGGCAAAATGTTCAAAATGTTTTAAAAAACTGGTGGATCTGGCTAAAGGTACACAGGAGAGGACAACTTTTCTTGCAACATTTGCACAAGTAAGAATTCATCACAAAATAAAAAGTGAAAAAAAAAGACTAGTAGAAGAAATAACAAAAAAACATTACATTATACTTGGGGTTAGAGTCCCTAAATCCCACCTATTTCCTATAGATATTTGCACAAAATAATTAATTTCTCTCTGATTCTATTGCCTCATCCCTGAAATACATCGTGAGTATCTTGCTCTATGGACTCCACGGGGTTGTTTATAGTATGTGGAAAGATGATGAAATTGACCTCAGTTCTGGTAAAATGAAATACAACTGCATAATGGAGTTGGGAGGTACAAGGCAGGAGTTTCAAAATTCAAGTTGCCGTAGCAGAAGAATAAAAAATCACTATAACGTCATCTTCCTTGCTGTCATACCACTACCTAAAATTCAATTGTGAGAGAGCAGCAGACACACGGCTGCCCCTGCTGCCTCTCACCAGCAGAAGCATGTTCATGGCCACCACCCAGCACCCCCATAGCAAGGACCGGGCAGGGACAGAGGGAGCTCGCAGACAGGAGCAACGTAAGTGGGAAGTTGGCAAGATGAGAGAGACCTATGCTAGACTCAAACCTCACATTTTTCTAAATCATGGTTTGGGAGAAAAACCCATTTTGGCAATTTCAGAAAAGAATCCACATTTAACTCAAAAGAACGACATCTTACCGATTTGTGATGATGTCATCCCAGACATTCATTGGGTCCATTTTAGCATCTGGATATCTGTTTGTCCAGGTTTTTATAAGTCTCTTAAGGGGAACTTGAGATGATAAATTTCCTAAAAATAGTATTAGAGGGTGATGACATCCACAACTCAATGACAAGGCCAACTAACCAAGTGAGGCCATCACTAATAAATAAAAACTTGGCAGGCAGGTTAGCTCAGTTGGTTAGAATGTGGTGTTATAACACCAAGGTCAAGGGTTCAGATCCCCATACAGGCCAGCCACCCAAAAACAAAACAAAATGAAAAAAACCTTAATTCAAATTTCTCATCCAATTTTTTTTAAAAAAGGTTTGTTTTTTCTTTTACAAAAGGAACACAAATTTATCATACTAAATTTAATATATTCTGATATTCAAATTCAGTCACTTAAGGGTATAGAATAAAGATGGGGAAATAAACATACATTAAAAAAGGTATTGAAAATTAAAATGGTTTACATAGGGCTGCAACAAATTTTCTCAAGGACAAATCTAATCTTAATTGGAATAGGAGTACTTATAGTCTTTGTTTATGTTGTTAATGGGAACACTCACAACTTAACTTGGAATGCATCACTGTGCTTAATCATGAAACACTGCCCCAGCCCCTGGAGTGGGTGCAATGTTACATTTCTAATATCCAAAACCACCTGGCCTCAAGGGTTTCAGAAAAGGCATTCATTATAATCCTCATGAAACTGAAATTTCACATTGCTAATGTTTAAAGCTTTAGTTTTCTCTTTCTTTTGGTGGAAATCAGTGGTTAGGAACTTGAGCTAAGACCGGAAAGCCCTATGTTCAAAATTTGGATCTTTTATTAGCTAAGGCAAGTCATTTAATCTCTCTAAGCCCTTATAATCTGAAGAGAAAAAAAATCTATATCTCATAAGGTTGTTATAAAAACCAGGCAATATGGATAAAGATTAATATAGATCTTGGAAAGGACAAAGCACGTTATGAATGAGACATCACTAATAGTATGTCTTTCATCACTATTTTTAATTAGTTAAGACAAAAACTAAAATTCAGATTCATAACTAAGACACTTTACTTTGCAGAGATGTGCTCTTTCCCTTATACTCTTGGATGGCCTCCCACAGGCACCGGATAAGACCCACTCATTAGTGGCACAGACACCTTTACGGTCTGGGCACTGTTGCCAACAGCCTCCCTGCCCTCCCCTGAGGCCAGGTTCCTGGGCACCCAGCCACAGTGTGACCGCACTGCAGGGGCCACCGTAGCATGCCGTCAGGCAGGGCCACTCAGTCCTCCTTTTTCCACACTCCATTCAGGCCCCTCCTGCACCCCTCAGTCCAGGGCAGGCCCCGCCACCTGTGGTCCAAATGCACATGGGTCCTGCATAGTCACCCCACCACTCTGGAAGCTTCTTCAAGCTAGGCAATATGTTTCATTTTACTTTGCATCCCCAGTGCCTAGAACAGCGTCTGACCATTTAAAACATTTATTTCAATGATTTTTTTTCCTTTTTGTCTTTTTTTTTTTTTTTAACTGACCGGTAACGGGATTGCAACCCGTAGTGTCGTGCCCGTACCGGGGACCGGCAATGGGATCGCAACCCTTGGTGTTGTGCCCGCACCTCCTTTTTGTCTTTTTTTTTTTTTTTAACTGACCGGTAACGGGATTGCAACCCGCAGTGTCGTGCCCGTACCGGGGACCGGCAATGGGATCGCAACCCTTGGTGTTGTGCCCGCACCATGCTCAGCCAGTGAGCGGGAACCGGTCTCCACATGGGATCCGAACCCTCGGCGGGAGCACCGCCATGCTCCCAAGCGGCGCACTCTCCAGTGCGCCACCGGGTCGGCCCTCAATGATTTTTAAATATATATTTATATAACAAATTCAATGCAGTTTCCAATCCATACATTAAGAACCATGCACTTTTCACTAAGCAAAAATATCAGATGCTAAAATTCTTCCATAATTAGAAAATAAAAAAATAATGGCTTGTTCAAAAAATTACCTTGTTTGCTTATAAAGCCAATGAACTCCTGAATTTCTGTTAAAGCTTGCACAGACTGCAATTTAGTGAGTCTACTTCTGTGTAAGAGGACATCAATACTAGAATAATTCTAGAAAAAAGGCATTTAGCATTGTTATAAATCAATTTACTACTTTAAATCTTTAATGTAGTTCTCTAAACCATGAAATATAACTACCCCATAAATGCATCAGTTACCCAGTGTGTCTCAGATTGGTTAATAATTAGGTGACAGAAACAATTAACAAATGGTTTAAATTTCTAAAAAATAATTTAGGTTTTCAATCACATTTTGGTTCAATGAAATCAATAAAATTGATATAATCAGGCTCTCATAGGCTCTATTTGCCACCAGTTTTTTAAAATCACAACATCCTGTAACAGCAATCCTGCCAACTACAAAAGCTTTCTTCTTTGATAAACTTCCTTGAGAGAGTACAATTCAACTTCAACACAGTAAAAGAAAAATGAAAAAAAATGAATGTGTATATTTCTGTGATTAACATACACCAATGATAAACATTGTTAATGACTCTATACAAGACACTGACTTATAAAAAAAAATTTTTTTCATGAGTTTACTGACTTAAAACTACCATGAAAACAGTACACTTCTGGTAGATCTATCTGTATTACCTGCATAAAGATCTGAATGCCATTTTCAATGTAATATTTGGCTCTGTCAACATCATCTTGCAAGATGTAAAGAAGACTCAGCTCCTGGCTGTAGTGAAGCTCCACAAGAGCCTTCTGCAGCTCCTTGCTCACAGCCTCATCAATGAATGTCAGCAGGGACTGGTCGTCCTCTCCTTGCAGCAGCAACTTCAGCTTGCTGCGCATCATGTAAGGTAAATACACCTCCTAAGGAACATAAAAATCCACTTGTAACTTCAGAAAGACAATTTGAGTTTTGTTTAATTATTTTATTAATATCCTTTGGTATAATTTGATAAGTCAAGATTTAGAGAAAAAGTAGCAATGGCCGATATTTCTAAAATTGTGATTTTAGGTTTAAAACAAGTTCATCTAAAATAGCTCATTTTGTAACCACAAAATATATACATGTTCTATAGAAAATGGGAATTACTTTAAGCTAGAAGACAATTTGGATGTTACATACAAACTGAGGAATTCACAGTACAGCCAAGATAGCGGCAGTGTGGGAGAGAACAGGAGAGGGCCTCACCCTGGGAGTCTGGCATCTGTGGGTAGCCAGTGATCCAGTGCATCTTCTTGTCATATAAGAGACAACAGGAAATATTCTTCCACGTAGTCATACCAGGGATGTTAATGTTTATTTTTAAAATGCATCCCATTCAATTTGAAAGAGTTAGCTAAAAGTGATAAGAGATTGAACAGAACTATGGACTTTATGGGGGAGGCAGGTTATATAAATATCCTAATGCTTCACAACTACTACCTTGTTTTGTTTTTTGTTTTTTGGTTTTTTTAGCAGCTGGCTGGTACAGGGATCTGAATCCATGGCTGCACTCTAACCAAATGAGCTAACTGGCCAGCCCTACTACCTTGTTTTTGAAAAGTTTTAAACAATTTTATCAACTGGAAAACACCTGACCATCTAAAATATTTATTTCAGTGACCTAAAAATAATCTGACCTACCTGATAAAATGGCTCACTCCACATTTTATTTAGATCTGGAGGGTTCTCACTGTCTACACCGGCTGTAGAACAGTATTCGAGTGATTTCCACTCAGCGAGGTGCTTGTATCAGTCCAGAGACGCCAGCTCCCAGAGGTCCTTCTCGGCTTCTGTAGGCTCACCATCCACCCACTCTTATTTATTGAGAGCCTGGCAGAGAAAAGTTAGACCATTTTACAAAGATGGAAAGAATACAAATGAAAACATATAAAAAAGGAGATAGTGTAACATTCATACTAAGGACAATCATTTTCAGATTTATGGCAACGTCAGAGTAAAGGGAAGATATTTAGAGTGACACTGAATGGAAGAAAAAAACAGAAGGAACCTTACATAACAAATGAGTATAAAAACCCTATGGGAGGAAGCCATCTCTCCAAGAAACTTACCAAGTAAGACTAAAGACCTTTAACAACCCATAATTTGATTTAAAACAATACTGTGTTATTTACTACTTAACAAGTTCTTAAAATGAAAATGAGAATACAGGACTTTGCGCACAACTGCAAAGGATTTAAACCCTGGATTGCTTGTTCAAGGGTCTCATAGTCACAGGCTTTAACATCTGCACCTGGAGAGCCACTGGCAACTCAAAAGAGAAGTTACAAAACTAAACTTACAGCCATCATCCTGAAGTCGTCTTTAGTTCTTTACAAATTTTTACTTACTGAAAGAAAACACCTGACTCAAATAGAAAGTGCATAATAACAGCAGACATAGAAATAACACTGTACAGTTTTATAGTACTTGGTGACTTAGGCAGTGCTTTGTCTTTTATTCAATGATGTTTTCTTAAAAAGAGTAAGAGATATAACAATAATTATTACACATTTGGTTATTATGAAACCATTCTGCTATTAATCTTTGTGTAAAACCTAAGGAATAAAGCTGAAGCATTATCAAGTTTTAAATAATAATGCTAACAGTTTTTTCATGCAGAGAACAGAAGTGCTTAAGCAAATGACATATTTGCTAGAAACCAATTTTACCTCATCATACAGCTTAGCAGCTTCAGAATAATCACTTCTGGCTTCTGCTAATAATGCATTCTGAGTGACTTGCTTTGTTCCTATCGCACTGCTAAAAATACCTCGGAGGACATCATATTCTCCAATTGATCTGTAAAGTCTTTAAAAACCAAAAATGAAAACAAAAGGCCCAAATTAATGAACACCCCAATATTTTAAAAGTATTTATTCTAATGATATATTAGTTCAAGATGTGACACATTACATTAACTAAAGGAGATATATAAAATGTTATTTTTATTTTGCTAAATATACAAAATAAAAAATACTTTTTTTTTGTCTTTTTTTGTGACTGGTAACAGGATCGCAATCCTCAGTGTCGCGCCTGTACCACGACCGGCAACGGGATCGCAAGCCTCGGTGTCGCGCCCGCACCACCCGCACCGTGCTCAACCAGTGAGCTGACCGGTCTCTATATATGGGATCCGAACCCTCAGCAGGAGCGCCGCTGCGCTCCCAAGTGCCGCACTCTACTGAGTGCGCCACCGGGCCGGCCCTAAAAAATACTTTGATGTTACCCTTAATACCATCATACAGAAGGCAGAAATTATCCTAATGTGCATTAAAAGTGAAATCAGGAAATATAAAAGGTTCACAATGCATAAACCATTTTGTTAAATAAGCTTCTTATCTGTGGGTGACCTAGCCCTACAAAACCCAGACGCAAGTAAAAAATAATCCTGACCCCAGTGATGCCACATTTTAATCTATGTGTTATGGACCATCTCAATTCCACGGACACATAATTTCCTTGTAGCCTCAACATTTGCTAGAGCATTCATTCATCTCTTCACTGTAACAAAAGATTTGGCTTGACTCCATCAACCAAGCTTCCTCCTCTACGATATTCTCAACTAAGTGTTTATTAATTTTGTTCCCATCTCCTAGAATTTTCTTTTCCATCTTCAAGTCTACCCAAATTTCATCTCTTCCTAAACCACAGTCACCTGACCAGCCAGCCAGCCAAGGACTGCCCCCCTTGCTCGGTTCTCATGCCATGTGGTTCCCTTCCCTGGTGCTCATCTCTTGTGTTTACATAAAAAGGGGTAAAAATCTAATACACGTGGCTCTCTCATTGCCCTGATCACAGAGGTTGGAGGGCAGGTGGTGGAACAGCAGCTCACAGCGAGACTGCAGGAGATGAGAGTGCTGAGACCTCAGAAAGGAGATCAGCTTCCACATACCCTGCACTGGCCTGCAGGCCCCTGGTCAAAACAGTAACACTGACATATCAAAAAAAGGCTAAATTATGTTCACAATACCCTGTCTGCAAGAAATGCAAAAATATTACATAAAAAAGTATGAGGAAGTTTATTTCATAGCAACAGAAAAAAATGTTTGAAGTTTAGGCCCTCAAAAGTTATATGCTCCATTTACCCAGCAGCAGTACACATTACATAGAAGGTGGTACTGTTCACTTACACATCTGGAGCAAGGGGACAAAATGGTTCCTGGGTAAAATCAGCACTAGCCAAGAGGCAGAGGCGGTCTGAACTGTCCCAGCTTTTTATCTTGCCTCTCTTGGTACTTACCATCTCTTGCTTCATATCAGTTATGTATAAAAGTGCATTTGGGCCTCCTTATCCACGGCTTATGATGGTATTGCCTGTACTGAACATACACAAACTTTTTTCTTGTCATTAATTCCCTAAACTATACACTATAAAAACTATTTACGTAGCATTCACATTGTATTAGGTATTTTAAGTAATCTAGAAATGGTTTAAAGTATATGGACTTAAGTGCATAGGTTGTATGCAAATACTATGTCATTTTATATCAGGGACTTGAACATCTGTGGATTTTTGTATCTGAGCAGGTTGGAGGTGTCTGCAGTCCCAGTGAATACTGAGCGACAACTGTACACACATTTCCTATTGGATCATTATTTTTATGAGTCTGTGATCAATGTTTTATTCATTTTTGCATTCTCAGTCCCTCACACACTCTTAGTGCTCAATTAAGAAAGATAGGAATTAACTATAAAACAGCAGTAAGTGCAAGGATCCCCTGCCTTTACTTTTACTTTCCAGAATCTAAAGATCTAATCAGCACTACAAAACACAAGTTCAAATTAAATTCCAGCCTTAACCTAACATCCTTTGCAGAATTAGATACTGGCTTTCACATGACAAAGCAAAGGTGAGGGAAGAACGAGACAATGCCAAATGGATAACCACAGATGGAACTCATTTCCCAAATAAACAAAGTAACTATATTAAACTGTTCCTAAAGTTTTGAGTCCTGCTGAAAGTAATAAATCATCCTCTATTCAGTTCAGCAAAGCAGGAAAAAACAAAATATTAGGAACTATAGTTTTCAGGCCTACTTTATAAGAAACTAAACTTTATGAATAATACTGAGTCCAAAAGACTTTATATTGAAATAAATTAACAGGTTTAATTAATGCTCTCTTTCCTTGAGCAAGACATTCCTTGTCATGGCATCTAGTCTTTTTATTTTTTATTTTTTTTTTTCTTTTTATCTTTTTTTGTGACCGGCAACGGATCGCAACCCTCAGTGTCACGCCCGTACCAGACCGGGACTGGCAACGGGATCGCAACCCTCGGTGTTGCTCCTGCACCTCGCTCAGCCAGTGAGCGGCCGGTCTGTATGTGGGATCCGAACCCTCGGCGGGAGCGCTGCCGCGCTCCCAAGCGGTGCACTGTAGCAGTGCGCCACCGGGCCGGCCCCATGGCATCTAGTCTTAACTTATGGAATGGTACTCAGCCTGAAAGATTTTTTTAAAAATTTCACAGAAGTTCCTATCAATTTTACTGGTTCGTTTTCTGCCAAAACAAAGCCTCGTTTTTTCAGTACTACTTTGGTTAAATTCACTGTTCTCCCAAGAACACCTGATCATGAGCTTACTTAGCAAGTTCCATCCATCTGATGGTGTCAGGAGGGAGGTGGGTCTTCCCTCGTGCTCGCTTGGCAGATGGCTCTGCAGGTGCCAGGTGAAGCAGTGCCTCCTCCAGAAGGCGGATGCCCACAGGCTGCTGCAGGCTGGCCAGGCAGCCAGCACTCACTGCAGCAGGGTCGAGGCTCAGCAAGTCTTCATATTGGCAACTGATTTCCTGTGAAAACACAACACATGAAGCTGTTCAGCATGTGGTACTTGGGCCATATTTTCACAAGTGAATAATTGATTTCACTAAACATCAAAGCAAGTTTTAACATAAGTAGTGATATCACCAAAAGTTTCTCTGTGTTATTCTATTAACAAATTTTTCCTCAATATTCAATTTGCTCAAAGGAGGAAATGACATTTTATTTTTACACTTCCAATTCAAGGATTAATTTAAAGTAAGAAAAACATTAGGAAAATATAAAGATTCACACACACACATTTTATATGTACAAACAACAGCTGTGACTTCCAGGAATATTTAGCCTGACCTGACAAGAAAAGCAGTTCAAACATAAAGATTTCATATCCAATCACCAAAAAAATGTGTGTATTCATCTGCCTATTACTCTATGCAACCTCTTTTTTCCCAACTTTTTCCACCCAGGCTAACTTATTCAAGAATATTTGAATGGAGGGTTTCAGGAGTTATTATAATGACCTTTACTTTTTAACTCTCAATTTGACAGTCCTATATACATCAAAGTACTGAAAAGTGCCAAATTGATATACAGAAAAACAAGAATAGTATGACAGCGTTTTCACTAAGAAACACCAGCATGCGTGCATATGGGTTTGTATGTGTGCGTCTGTGCACATGCCTCGTAAAGACGGGCCCTCCACGTCTGCACCAGCCCCTTCCCATGCCCTTCGCAGCTGCCCCACACACTCCATCTACAGCAGGTTCTGCTCTAGGATTAATGAAGAATGTAACCTACCCCCAAAGCAACCAAACAAAACTGTGACCCTTAGAAGGAGCTAATGGTACAGAAAAGGAAATCCAAATAAAATTCTATTTCAATTAATAACACAGCAAAGGCTCGGTCTTAGTTGAGTTGTCAGATCTTGAGACAACACCACTCTAATTTGGAGGGAGACCCACCATAAGACACAGGATACCTTTAAATAAGCATATTTTAAATTTTCATCAAGTAACCTATATCATTCCATAAATATTTACCTTTTGGTTTCAGATGCTGTGGTAAACACAGTGTTGTCCCTAATTGCAAGTAGCTTAAGATTCATTTGTCCTATGTGTCCAACAGAAGTCTTATATGAATAAATGACTATGACTGGGATATCATTCCTTTATATGTGAATGTGTGCATAATTTAAGTGAGTTAAGTTTTTTTCAAAGAAGACTGACTATTCTGCTCAATCCTGTTTACAGTACCATTTTACTGTATAAACAATGATGTGCTGAGTAAAAGATAAACTTTCAGTGTAGTCATCCTCACAAGAATCTGTGTGAATACTGAACCAAGTGTACTTTGACGACAAGGAAAGAGCACAGATCACAGGCTCAGACATGATTGCCCAGGAGAAAGTCATCACAGCAAATGCTGCAAACAGCAGGCATGCTGTGCATTAGTGCTGCTCACTGCATGGCCAACGGCAGATGGCAAACTTTACAAGTTATTTATGTACTCAAGGATGGTTAATGACTCTTCAACAGCAAGGGAAAAAACTAGTTTTTTAATAGATAATGAATCAAACTAGGAATTAAGATTTTAAAAATCACTTCAGAATACAATGTAAAGAAAAACTTATTCTGAAATACTGGCTGACTCAATACAATTACTCAAATCTTTTTGCCTTTAGCGTGGCCAGGAGAAAAACAATGAAGGAATTCTACCTATAAATTATAAACCAATGAAAATAAAGCTAATATATAAAAAGAAACTATACTTACAGTTTTAAGCTACACCAAAAAGAATAAAACAGGAAAACTAAGTACTTCATTTCAGAGAATTATCAACCCAATTAGTTTGTAAGCCAATACTACTCATAAACAATACTAAAGAATATAATTTCATAATTACTTCAGGGAGGTTACGAGATACAAAAATACTAAAATGCGTCAAAAAGATTTGCCACTAGGGAATGTGTAGTAATCTATATTTTGAATGTCACAGAAAAAGTTTCTTACATGAAAAAAACATCTTGTGATAAGTATTTTTAAGCAGTACCTAAAGGACTCCTACATTAAACTCTTTGCTCAAATAGTACTGCCTCAGGGAGGACTTCTGTGACTACCGCAAATCAGTATCTGTGATACACAAAACACGGCCCTGATCAAGGTACACAGCCTGCTTCATTACTACCCTACACTACTATCATACTTCTCTATTACTCAAGTACTATGACATTTATGACTACCTTCTCTTCTGTTCTGTACTTGTCTGTGGATTGTCTGTCCCATCTAGAATGTTAACTCTACCACTCAGAACCAAGCCAGGTGTGTGCTCAGCCAACACCTCTTGAGGGCAGTCAGGAGGCAGGAAAAAATTTGATTACAATACTACGAAAGGAAAAACTAAACAAAATGCAGGTTTAATCAAAGGGGGGGGGGGGGTGGCTTATTACAAAATAAAACACTTTTATAATAAGTCTGATTCTAATTATTCTGTCATATATAAGAGTTTTGTTTGTTTTGTTTTGTTTTTCGGAAAAAAATAAATTACATCTACCCATTTGGGAAGAGGTAACTCAGTATATCCACTCTGTTAAACAACTTGTTATCTTAAGAGTTTCAACTTGGGAGACAAAGTGATGATATATAGTCATGAGAAGCCAAAGCAGACAATGCATATTTTATAAAGAGAGTGTGAAGACTTTTACCTGGATACAGGAGACAAAAGGTGGAAAGAAAGAGAAGGTGGTATTAAGAAAATAATTGAAGTCTTGGAGCAACTTTTGAGTGATGCTGTTTTTTTCAGACATCGTCTTAAATTTATCCATTTCTTTCAGAATTCCAGAAAACAAGCTGCTAAAGAGCTGTTTTGCAATTATTGGGTCTCTCTGGGGAAAAAAAATCAAAAGAGACAAATTAGGATCTGAAGTAAAAATGCAATAATTCATCAATATTATCAGAGCTGTATTGGAAAATATTAATTGTTGCAAACATATCTCAATTCTATTTAGAAAGTTTTAACAGGTGTTGACAAGGGGAGTGTGTTTGGAATTTAACCAAATATATTTGTTTAAAATATTTTATAAAAACATGGTCCGAAAGACAAATTCAAAAGCTGGCTTAATACATAAGCACACAGCTTATCTCCTGAGATGAGTTTCCTCTTTAAAATAGGGCTAACAGAACAGAGGGCTTTGGTGAACATTAGCCAACTTAATGCATGCCAAGTGTCTAATGCAGTGCTTGATAAGAGCTCGGAGGAAGATTAGATTTTTAGGTATTATGTCAATGTCAGCATCATGGTAAAGCTTAAAATAACTGATGAAACTAAGCAAAACACCAATTTTAATTTTCAAAGTTCCATCATCATGACCATTTAAACTATCAGCGGTTGCTGTGGGAATGTAAAAGAACATCATGATAACAAAGGACTGTCCTGTGGTGAGTTACAGGAATCTAGACAAGGGACCAAACACACACAGCATGCACAAACGAATGCAGGGAAGTGACAAACACGAGCAAGGCCTGCAGTCAGAGAACACCAGTGTCCTCCTGTCAGCACCTGGTCTGAATACTGCACCAATTACATAAGATGTCACCATGGGCGAGCTGGGTGAAGGATACACAGATGATAGGAAAATTCCTGTCGATCTACGATTACTTAGATTATATACAAAGGTTAAAAAAAACTTAAAAAAACAGTAAAGGGCTATGCAGATGAAATTTATTATTATAATCAATATTAATACTGGAAACAAGTGCAATAGAATATAAGGCATTATATTTCATTACCTAGCACAATGTTATACATATATATATGTATGTGTGTTTGTGTATATATATGTATGTATGTATATATATATATGTATTATGTATATATATATATATATAACAAGTCTTTTCGATTTTTAAAATTATTTCAACAAATTCAAGGAATCTCAATGAAGCCTTACATCCTGTTTTTGTCAAAGAACTCAGCTTGAAAACTTCATTAGCTCTCAACACTTTATTCTGCACCCTAATGGCTTAGAAAAATATTTCCAGTCCCCTGTTATTAAGTGAATTATGAGAAAAGGAAGAATACTGATCTCACTGATAAACTTTGTGTAAACAATAAGTGGCTGAGCACCTCAAAGTTTACAATAACTTTTTTTACACATTACTACATTCTTATTAAAATTATCATATAACAAAAATAGATTTCACTGTCTGATTTGATAGATGGAGACCCTGTGGCTCAGAGCATTACCTGACTTGACACAGACCTCCAGTTTTAGGGCCAAGTTCCAGGTAACTTAATTTAGTCTTACCATGTGAAAAGAAGTCATGCCAGAGCCAGGACTTGGAACAAGATCTTTAAACCAAGCCTACTGTCCAGGACAAATCAACACCTCACTTTGACTCAGACCCCTTGAACTGTAAACAGAGGCTTTATTCTGTCAAAAGAACACACAACAAGGATGTACTTGGGCCACGGCCTGCAAGGGGGCAATGAGGCTGCTGTGCTTAATCTGGATGTCAGGAAGGTCTCCGTGACGGTAACTTCTGTACAGGATGACCTGGGCGTCCTGCTTCATTTTTAACTCACTCTTGATCTCCTATATTCACCAGAACCCAAGAAGGAAGATTAGAATTCTTATCTAAGAAAATCAGTCATGCATGAGACATGACACCCTCAGGTCGCACCTTTAACGTAAAGGTGAAATGCAGATGACTGCCACTGACAGTGGATTAGTCACTGTGCTTTACCAATGGCAGACAATAGATCCAAAACAAAATCACTATGGCAGATGAGCAGTGAAAAGGCTATTTAAATGTGTATTGCTGAGTAATCTTGATATTCATAAGATCAGAAAATTTGATTCCAAACTTTTTAAAAATATAGATTGAAGGTTTCCTTTTTAATTCCTCTAAGAAGAAGTCTTGGCCACAAGATGGCCTTGGGTGTGATGGCCATGGGCGCCTGCTATCTTTTGGAGTGTCTGACCGCAGCTGTCCACTTGCCCTCTGGCGCCTATCGCAGGCACTCTCCAGAGGGGCACTCCACCACAGCTCCTAACACAGGTCTTCCAGACATGCTCATCACTTGGCACATTCTTACACTGCACATGTGTGATCTCAGCCCACCTGTCTTGTCTGCCCTACACACTGGACTGCAGCTCCATGAGGCTTACCTTCTGCTCACCTCTGCACAGCTAGCACCTAGCACAGTGCCTGGCATTGAGCACATGCTCCAGCAGTCTCTCCTCAACAAATAAATGGCCTTCTGATGTCTGATTACCTCTCTGCCATTCCTGGTCAGGTCAGCAGCTTCAAACCTGAACGCCATGTCAGAGGGATGAATGCAGGACCTCACCCAGCGGCCATCCTCCGTTTATCAATTATTATAGAGTCCTTCTTCCCATCAGGCCAAAATATCTCCCTGCAATTTGTACCCAACAATCCTGTTCGTCTCCTCCTTCTACTGACCAGAACACATTAGTTCCTTCAGACATGCCTCGTTACATTCCATGGTTAATCAGGAGCCCAGAACTCCTTCTCTAGGGAGCAAAGAGAACGCCTTCCAGCAGCACCGGCCAGCGACCTGAGCAGGGGAGGGTCTTGGACATGTCCTGATTTTGGACCCCAGTCTTCAAAAGAATGGTTATAGTTACGGAGACAAGAAGAAGATGGCCATCTTCTTCCCACAGAAGATACAGTGGAACCATTCAACCTCTTCCCACTTAGATTTGGAAGTTCTTAAATGGCTGAGGATTTAAACTGAATTAGAACCATGACACAGTTTTATGCACAATCTATCCTAACTTTCTTGAAAATTCTGCCATAGTAAGTGATTTACAAGCAATCTACTGACCAGAACACGTTAGTTCCTTCAGACATGCCTCGTTACATTCCACGGTTAATCAGGAGCCCAGAACTCCTTCTCTAGGGAGCAAAGACAACGCCTTCCAGCAGCACCGGCCAGTGACCTGAGCAGGGGAGGGTCTTGGACATGTCCTGATTTTGGACCCCAGTCTTCAAAAGAATGGTTATAGTTACGGAGACAAGAAGAAGATGGCCATCTTCTTCCCACAGAAGATACAGTGGAACCATTCAACCACTTCCCACTTAGATTTGGAAGTTCTTAAATGGCTGAGGATTTAAACTGAATTAGAACCATGACACGGTTTTTATTCACAATCTATCCTAACTTTCTTGAAAATTTTGTCATAGTTAGTGATTTACAAGCAAAACTGAAGCTATGGCTAACAAATTCTTTCATTAATTCCACATTTTTGTATATGTTTAACTACTAACTCATATTTGTGTCTTCACTCGTAGCTTCTGGTGGAGGCTCTAGCCTGTCTGGCCGGTATGTTCATGGTAACCCTCACTCACACAGTGCTGCCTCTGTGATTTTGTTTTGTAGACCAATATTGGAACCAAGATCTGACAGGAAGCTTATTTCCTTAGTACATTTCCTATGATATAAAGCAGATACTTCTAACCAATCAAATTCTTGAAAAAGATACAAACCTCCTCTCGTTTTTGTTCAGCAACACCTTTTCTGGTGTAAATCAAACTGAGTTTTTCTCAGTCCTTTAAGAATTGTCTGCGTAATCTCAGTATTTCTGCGCGACTGTCTGTGGCTAGAGACGTAAAGCAGGTTTGGTTACAGACGCCACACACACCTGGCCTCACCTCTCCCAGAATCCCCTTAAGTGAACATGAGGTCGTTTGTTTACCTCCACTTTTTAACCTTTACTTAGTATTTTCTTAAAGACACAAGCCTAAGAGGAACAACTGAGGCAACAGCTAACAATTCTGGAAGCTAGAAAACAGAAGTGCGCAACTACCTTGGCCAAACCCCAGCTCAGCAAGAGAGACCAGGGTCAGGACAATGGTCATGGGAAGGCGCAGAAGCGAGGCCGCGGGGGAGAGGCCACTCCAGGGAGGAAAGGAAGCAATGCTGCAGCAGGAAGCACAGCTCTGTGCTGCGGATGTGGGGCCCAGAGCAGGGACCCCAGTCTGGGCAGCAGGAAAGACTGCAAGCACCTGCAGTGCACCAAGGACTTCTGTGACTTGGCAGCTGCCTCCCCCATGATCCCCCAGAGTGCTAGCACAGCCCTGCAGTCTGTAGGCAAGAGGCTGGGAATTGTGCCTCTGGGTCATCAGGCAGCACAAAAGAGTAGATGCGTCTGGCTGGAGCGACCTCCCTTCGGTGATGACCCAGACAGCAAGCACTACCAATCTGCCTTTTCGGGAACACAAGCCCAAGCCCAAAAATCACCAGAGATTTTGAGGAAAGCTTCAAATATGAAAGGCAGAAACCAAAATAAATTACAGAGAAAGTGCAACTGTTAAAAACAGACTATGGAGGAAAAGACTTTCAAAAAATCATCATTCATCAGAAAGATAAGAATAGATATTGCAGCCGTGAATTAAGGACTGAAGAAACACTCAGAGAACAAAGAAACTCATGAAAATAAAAAATATGGTGTCATCACTTAAAGGCAAGGGTTGGAAGATAAGGTTGAAGAGATTTCCCAGTAAATAGAGGCGAAAGAAAAAAATAAGAAAATTAGGAGGATAACCCAGAGGTCTGATATCCAAACAGTAGGATTCCAAAAAGAGAAAGCTGAGGAACAAATCATCAACAAAATCACCCAGGATGGTATTCCAGAACTGGAAAATGAGTTAGCAGTGTGTACCCACATGATGCCCAGGCAAAACTCTAGCAGTGTGCGCCCACATGATGCTCAGGCAAGTGGATTAAAATAGATCTGCCCCAAAGGACACTTTTATGAAAATGCAGAAAACTGGTTTAAAAGAGAAGGCCCTAAGAGTATCCACAGAGAAAAGACCCAGGTTCTTAAAAAGGATCGACAGAGGTTAATGTGGGCCTCTTGCTCACATCTCTGCAGAGCAGGGATCCTGGGTGGCTCCCCCCACGGAAGTTGACAGCTGAACTGCCCACCGGGCACCAGGATCTCAAAACAAGCTTACCACTTGTGACCCCTCTTCTCAGCATCTGCTCAACCAAAAACAAGGAACCAACCAACCAAGGCAGAATAATCAGATCTGGGGGAGGTGAATGGACCCTCAAGATGAGGAGGGGTCTCTAGACAACAGCTGAGCAGAGACCCACGGCAAGCAGCCCAGAATGGGATAGGCCAGAGGCTTCAGGAGAGATTTCTTTAAGAACATGAAATATCTATAAGCTGGGACATTGTAAAAGACCACTGTATAACTCTGGGGAAATCTGATGACAAATATGTAGAAATATAAGCATATAAACCAAAGTAATTATTAATGCCCAGGAAAAAACATTCTTCAAGAAAAAAGAAATAATCACAGTATTACTCATGGTTCAATCACAAATAATATTAGGTAGTCAAAATAAGAAAAGCACCAAGTATCAACGAAAGTAAAACTATCACACAATTGAGCCAAAGGATGAGGGCACAGGCATGTGTGCATGTGTGTGACAGACTGGCAAGGCAGAAGAAGGGCCAATCCTCAGATGTCCTTCACGCGAAGCCAAGAGGTCATAACTAATACCAAAAGACAAAAAAGTTGCAATATAGAAATACTATGTGGAGATATGGAAGTAAATGCCAAAACTTAGCTAAAAGGGATTGTAAGTGGTTGCCTCTGGGATTCGGGAAATGTGTACGGAGGGTTGTTTCTTCTAACAAGCTTTCAAGAATTCCTTAAACTACAGGCATATATAACTCTGATATAAATAATTAAAGGAAACTAAAATACAGAATTAGGGCTGTCCTATGAGATCAGTTGGTTAGAGCGCAGCCTTGTAACACCAAGACCACAGGTTTGGATCCACATACCGGCCAGCCGCAAAAACAAAAAAAAGGTTGCAAAGTGATATTTTAACTAAACTACAATTTCAATCTTCAAACTGTATTTCCTTTTAATAATAAATAGTATCATAGTATGTATTAATACATCATATTTTTTTTTTTTTTTTTTGTCTTTTTTCCGTGTCCGGCAACGGATCGCAACCCTCAGTGTTGCCCCCGTACCGGACCGGGGACCGGCGACGGGATCGCAAGCCTCGGCATTGCTCCCGCGCCTCGCTCAGCCAGTGAGCGGGAGCCGGTCTGTACGTGGGATCCGAACCCTCGGACGGGAGCGCTGCCGCGCTTCCCAAGCGGGCGCACTATCCAGTGCGCCACCGGGCCGGCCCTAATACATCATATTTTATGAGCCTCCAAATGCTCTCATTTAGGCAAGAAAGTATATACACCCCAAAGATGACAGTATATGAAATATTTTAAATCTATAAAGGTACATGGGCAGATTCAAATATATTAAACGAATTACAATAGATAGCTATTAGCATTCATTTAACCTACTTAGTTCTATGACTGAATTTTTCCAAAATCATACACAAACTCTGAAAGAAAGTGGTTTCAAATTAGTTTTTTCACCTCTAATGTTCTGGAATGTCACTAAATGAATGGATTGAGTCCAATTTATTTAATAGTTTTTTTGGAACACGGATTGAGTCCAATTTATATAATAGTTTTTTTGGAACACCCAAAAACAATGCTTTCAGCATGTAAGTGCACAAAGCTTTAGTGGGCTTACTCACAGGATGTAAAGAAATGTGGTCGCAGGGCAGGTCATTTCAAGCATGTCTCAGCAGTCTTACTTACTTTTCACTTTGCTGTCCACCTCATCCCCTGGAAGGCCCAGCCTGTGTTTCCCAAAATCAGGTCCCACTGATGTCAAGGGTGCCCTCTGTGACTTTTCACTTCTTTTGTGGGCAAACAGCAGGGAGGAAGATAGGGAATCAGACAATGAGGAGACCGTATAGTCCACCAGGGGGTCGATACTGCTCCCAGTCAGCCAATTAAACGAGCTTCTTCCCTCTGCAACACAAATGGTCAGGGCAGTTGCATGCTCAGCACTGCATGCGGGGCAGTGAGGCCCGCCATGACACACCAGCAGCACCTAACATTGGTGTTACAAGATTTCCATTGTGGTTATTCAAATGAGCCCTACTTCCAGAACCAACAGAACATGAAAAAATTATATGAAAGAAAAATGTTGAAATGTTTATATAAAACGATTAAGGTATTTTACTCTACAATTTATAATATGCTGATCAAAGGAAACAGTGAAACTGTATGAGAAAGAACACTTTTAAAATTATAAACAAAAAAAATTATAAACACAGTAAATGAATTTGGTTTAGCTCTCCTTTGCTTTTGAGATAAGATATGTAAAATTTGATGCACTAAATGGATTTTTCTGGACAAAAACAAAAACATACAGGTACTAAAACTTTCCGTTTTTTCCAGTCAGAAATAATCCTTTTCTCCTTTCTGTAAAAAACTGTGGGTAGAATATATATATCATAAAATTTTACCTTTCAACTATTTTTAAGTGTATAGTTCAACGGCACTAAGTACATTCACACAGTTGTGCAACCATCACCACCATCCATCTCTAGAACTCTTTCATCTTGCAAAACTGAAACTTCATAACTATCAAACAGTATCTCCCTATTTCCTCTCCCCCAGGCCCTGTCAACCATCATTCTACTTTCAGTCTCTATGGATTTGACTATTCTAGCAACTTCCATCCTTTTCTCGTTTGACTGACCCATCTTTCTTGTGGTTCTTATCCCTTTTTGCTGTTACCGCTTAACTTCCCTTACAGATGGTGAATGTTCCTGTAATAGAAGCTCCTCCCACAGAGTGCCTTGTGCACAGCGGGAGAGCGTCAGAGTCGCTGGTTACCTGCAGTTTGTGTAGGCGTGAAATCGTACTGCTGTTGGGTGGCCCTTACTTGCCCAGCCACCGGCACTCGCGTTGAGAGGGACCCTCCCTGGGTCTGGGTGTGGAGAGCACTCTGGAAGGCCTGGGTCTCAACAAACATCGGAGTGAGAACAGTACTTTGGAAACGCCAGTCAGAATCAATGGTACATTCCTGGATGTTAAGAAAGTTTCAAATGAAATAATGTTCTTTCTTTAGCAACACTGAAATACTTCTATTTAAAATCCAATGGTACCATCAGCATATTTCTCTGTGGGAAACAGCTGAAAAAGAATCTTTTATAATTTAAAAGTTTCAACTAGGGCCGGCCCGGTGGCGCACTGGATAAGTGTGCGGCTTGGGAAGCGCGGCGGCACTCCCGCCCGAGGGTTCGGATCCCACATACAGACCGGTTCCCGCTCACTGGCTGAGCGAGGCGCGGGAGCAACGCCGAGGGTTGCAATCCCGTTGCCGGTCCCCGGTCCGGTACGGGGGCAACACTGAGGGTTGCGATCCGTTGCCGGACACGGAAAAAGACAAAAAGACAAAAAAAAAAAAAGTTTCAACTAAATAATTATTTGCCAACTAGAAAAACTAATTACTACCGGGGGAGAACACTAATTTTTTTTACTCCTTCACATTTTGTACTAAAAGGCTTTATCTCGTACTCAGAAATGGCACCACAACACAACCATGCCAAGTCAAGTGACTTGGCTCTGTTAAGTACTCTCACGCACTACAACAAGGCCAGAGTCAGGCCCCACCTCCAGAGGCCCTGTCAACCTACAGATTTACAGATTGTCAGGACTGTTAAGGCTGCCATGAGAAGGTGTGAACTCAGCAACTTCCAGTGGAGGGAGGAGTGAGGGGAGGAGGAGAAGGCATTTCTGGGACAGGAAATCTAAGTACAGGCTGAGAGGATGATAGTGAGCCTTCAGGACAGGTGGAGCACATGTGAGTGTTCTAGAAAGGAATGTGTGAGTATCCCAAGAATATAAGACTGCCAGTTTTAGTGCTATTAGAAAATCTTCATTAAGTAACAAACTGGGAAAGCTTATAATATTCATTATTATTTCAGAGACAAGCACTTCACCTGAAATTCGCATTCTGACAGAGGATGCTCGAACATGGGGTTTGGATAATCTGGGCTCATGCTGGTCAGTTCAAGCAGAAAATTTGTTGCTAAACTTAAAAAGTGCACTTCTATCTTAGGAGAATACAAGGAATTTAGTGCCAACAATCGGTCCAAGGTATTTGAAGGTAACCTAGTTTCATGGCTCCAGAAATTTCGAATAATTAATCTGAAAGGCAAAGAGGAAAAAAGCATATTGCTTAAATATAGGCAAAAAAGAAAGAACGTGCTACACATGACGTCATGCGAAGAAGGCACAGCTCTTCATCCATGTAAAACTTAGCAGAGAGGGAGGCTATGTTCAGAATTATATGAAGAGTATAATCTAAGTTATGAAAAATAACATGCATTATAGGAGAATATTCCAAAAATGTAGTATATTTAACAAGAGGTGAGAAAGTGGGTGATTTTATTCTCTCATCTCTGTTCCCTGGAAAGTGTTCAACGTTGAATACACAATATTAACTGTTTTGAAGCTGAAAAAACATTTTAAGAAATTACATATAATCCTTCACTGCCTTGCTAAAACAATTCACTCTCAAAAATTACTGCCATAAAACAGTCAAAACTTTGCTTAAAACCATATTAGGCTTTACAAATATATGAATGCTTGTGAAATTTTTAAAAGCTCAATGAATCTAAAATTGTAGCAGAATGGAAAAATCACATAAAAAGTTTGTGTCCCTCTTATATAATTAATACTTGATAAGACAGCCATCTGACTGACTCAGGCTGGGCATGTCAGAGGACCACAATCACCGTTTATACTTCCATCATGGTTTTCTCCTGTTTCTGAGGTTCCAAACACTCGACTCAATACATATAGCATAATCTCCACTCTCTCTGTTAAATGGGACACGGGACCAGTTTCACCACAGACTCTCTTTTCATTCGAAACACTTCAACTCACTGCACTAGAAGAGGGTGCTATGTCCACACTACTTTTTCAAAAGTTTTATTTTAAAGTAACTTGTTAAGATTTTAAAATCTTACTCTTCATAATGTGATCTAAAATACATTTTTACTGAATATTAAATGCAGGAGGCAGAGAAAATACTAATACTGCAAATACATTGCTAAAACTGCTGAAAAACACACTATGCTAGTCTAGGAAGCAATAGCCCTAAAATGCAGTAGCCCTAAAACTCAACTACCCTGGCCAAATTATTCCAGGAGGAGTACATACTGCAGCCCAAGGTTCTCATCGATCAGTCCTTGAATCAGCATATCTTTTGCCAACTTAAATATTTCCTGGGAGTCACCATCTGTTTGACTTTCTGAATCTCTGTTGGAGAAAATAACAAAATGACACAACATTAACACTTTCATCTTGCTCTCTTATTCAACCCCCAAACACTGTCTAGAATTAAAGTAAAAAACCAAACACTGTCTAGAATTAAAGAAAAAATGCTGCCTCTTCCCATGAGACTGTAACTCCCCAGTCACAGCAGAACCCCCTCATGGGTGTGTGTAGGCTGGGCACCCTCCCTGCATGCCTCGTGAGCCATCATGGCTGCTGGCATGGGGAGGGGTGGCCGGTGCAGGGTACCCACAGGACGTTTGGCACCCCTGCAGTGCCAAAAGTGGTGGTGTCATGGCACTCCTGATGGATGAGGAGTCCTGACAGAGGTCATCTCCTTAACCTTGCCAGATCTTAAAAGGATAACTATGAAAACAAGTTTTATAAGTAGGTCACTAATACACTTTGACCTCAACCAATCATTTCACTCTCTGAATACTTCTCACACCTATGAGAAATGAGTTAAAACAGGATACAATTCAATATACTAAAATAAAGTTGTTCTAACTATTAATCACATGGTAAACGATGTTTTATTATGTTCCAGATGGCTAAAGGCACCAAATAATCCCTAAAAAAGTAATACAAAATGTCAATGTATAGCTTACCTGTAATTATCATAAATCCACATGAGAATATTATACATTTGTTCCCTACACGCTGGAGAAGGGTGGGAAATGAATTCTACAACAGGGTTCAGAAGTTCTCGGAGTTCTACTGGTTTCAATTTTGCCATCGTCTTATAAATTATATCCAAACACACTTTTTGTCTTTCATCATCTCTATAATAAGAGAGATTTTAAAAATTACACAAATTTAACAATTTTTATTATTGTACTTTCAAAGTATGACAGGCAACTTTTTTTTTTGGTGGCTGGCTGGTTCAGGGATCTGAACCCATGACCTTGGTATTACAAGGTTGTGCTCTAACCAACAGAGCTAACCAGCCAGCCCAAACAGGCAACTTTTTCTTCTTTGTTTTGTTCTATATTCGAAATCTGTAATAATGAATAACACTACACTTATAAAAATTATTTTCCTAAAAATAATTATCATGGGCTAGGTTATTAAAAATAAACAAATTAATTAAAAGTGCTACCCTGGATTGGATCTTGGAATAGAAAAAGGATGTTGGGAAAAAATGGAGAAAAAAAAGTCTAGTTTAATTAACAGTAAAAAGTACTAGTGTTAATTTCTTAGTTTTGACAAAGTTAGCATGATTACGTTAAGAAGGGAAAACTGAGTGAAGAGTCTATGGGAATTCTGTGTGTCTTTTTACTTTTCTGTAAATATAAAATTATTTCAAAATAAAAAGTTTATCCTAAAAAAAAAACTGGTAATGGCAAACAAAATAAGTTAACAATATAAAAAGTTTCAGATTTAAAAAAATGATTTCAAGTGCTACTTCACATGGCACATGGTGAGGTTAAGTGTAGCCTGGCAAACACCTATTTCCTTGTTTCGTGTATCTTTTACTCCTTAAAGCTTAATGATGTACACACAGTAAGTGGATACTCAGAAACTATGTTAGATATTAAAACACAATGGCATGTATTCTTTGTTATTGGCACATTACACATTTATCAATAATTTATCACTCTTTAAAAATATGTACATAAATCAAGACTGGAAAAGATAGAGATAAATAAAATAATGTAAGTGATCAGCAGCTTTCTCTTTTAACATTTACTTTTATTCTACATTGCAATTTTGAAAATAAATGAACATTTTTAACCCCTAACGGAAGGCTCTTACCTGGCAAAATAGGTACAGAACTCAAAAACATGCATCTTAAATCTGTAGGGCCTGAGGCAATCCCATGGGTCATCCCCTTTGTCTATGGGTGAAATGCCCTTGCCTGAAGGGGTGTGGCCTCCCAGGGTGACAGTCTGAGAGGCAAGGGCAGGCCTACCTCAGCACACACTTCAGTCTTACACTGTCTTTACCTTTTCTTCTCAGATTCAAAGTACACAAATATGCATTTCATGAAAACCCACAAGTTTTCCATGAATTGAAGGAGATGTGTGAACAAATACACGCTTTATGAGCCAGTGGGATCCAAGAGCGTGGGGCTAGTGTTCACTCACCTATGTCTCATGACCTGAACAAAGTCCTTGCTCTTTAGCTGGACATACAGGTCCATCATCACCTCTGCACGACAAAGCACCACCTCTAGGCAAAGTGTCTTCATCACCCCATGAAATTTCGGCAGCAGGAAGAACACGGCATTCATGAACCTGAGCAGTGGGAAGGACAGGTGAGAGGACGGCCACTGACCCTCCCGCCACAGGCACCCTGACGGCCCCTACCTGTCAGCAAGAGGAGGGCAGCTCTTTGCCACTTTGTTCAAGCACACAATAAACTTGTCCTCCATAGTGTTCTGATGTTGCTTCAACTGCTTTACAACCAGTTCACACACAGACTCCTCCAGCACCTGAAAAATTAAATTTCTTCTCAAATACACAATGGGGAAAACCTGCATTAAGTGCTGAAAATAAGATTTACCTTGAATATCTGAGTGAATGCAAGGGAAGTGTTCAATGTTATCACCTACAACAAATTTCACAGGTGAATGAGGACACGGGGAGTGGTGGAACACCCGCTGGTGGGCATAAACCACTGGTGGGCATGAATCGCTGGACACCCCAGGCTCCAGGTCCTCGAGTTCCTGTGTGCAAGTGTGCGAGACTGTGCTGTGAGCACCAAGGCATCTGGCTTGTGTCAGATGTAAGAGCAATGAAGATTAGTGTTTCCTTCTGACAGCGAAATACTGCCAATAAGCTAAACTAAAATTGGTGATAACACACTGTTTAAGACATATCTTATGATGTTCAAGTCTCTGGTCAAATATCCACATAGACCAGAACGTTCAAGCAACTCTGTCTACACAGCAGCCCTATCACTGTCTACCTGTCCATATCCCACCTTCTCTTCACCACACATTACTACCTCCTGTTATATATTCCTTTGCATATCATCTGTCGCCACTCCCCAAATGCCACCTCCCTGTGGGCAGGGTCGTGGTCTGTCTTGTTCCCTGCTGCATCCCCAGGGCCTAGAACCAACAAGTACGTCCTCGGCATAGGATAGGACTCATAGCATCTACCGGGATGAAGTAAGGAAAATGTGCACTTCCTTCATTCATGGCTCATCTTCCTCACAGAGATCAGAAAAGGATAGTGAGCAACCTTTTCAAAAGCACTAAGATTTTTTTCAAAAGCACATAAGATGAATAGTTTTCCTATACTAACTTAATAGTATGAGGCTCTTTTAAGCTATGCTCAAGGGAAATCTTTCAGACAAAACCACAAATTTCAACGGCTTGAACCTCATGTAGAATATTTTATTACACTCCTGATTTGTAAGGTATGTCTTTTTAAAAAAATAACATGATGAAATGGTCAATGACATGATGAAATGGTCATGACCTATCATGTGAAGACAGCAAGTTACAAACTAGTCTGGACAAGACAGCGGGCATGCACCCACACTGGTGAGCAAGCCACTTTGCAGGTACCCAGAGCAGCTGAGTGGGGAGAACTGGGCCTCTCTTACTTATTTCTTTAGATTTTACTCTGTTTTCCAAGTTTCCACATTAAATTGCTACCACCTTCATATTCAGAAAAAAACTATGCAAAACAAAGGTATTTATTATTCTTACTACGTTGAAATTTAAGCAATGAGAGATTAAACCTGGGGATCTGCTGTAACTTGTTCCATCTGTGGTGAAAATGAATTTAAATTTTCATACATTTAAACCTAATATTTAGGGACATCAGAATCATGCAAGGTAACAAGGTGATTCTGAATTTTAAAAATTTAATTTACAAAAAGCTCTGATAATCCCTAAAATAAGCTATAAGTGAAGTGTGATCTTTCTACGGGGGTCTATTTCCCTGCATTATTTAATTTTATTTTAAATCCAACCAAATCTGTAATTGGTAAAATGGAAAAGGGTTCAACTTGCTGTGTTGGGTACCTTGGAGTCCACTCAGGACCATGTGGCTTCTAAGCCTCTCCTCATCCAGCCTGACAGCCACCACAGCCTCAACTCCACTCTGGCTTTTCTTTCCAGGAGCTGGCCCAGAGATACAAATTTGGGAATCATGACCATAAAGACAGTTTTTAAAGCCATGAGGCTGGAAGAGATGGGCAGGCGAACAGAGGAAGAGAAGACAACCAAAAGAGAGCTGTGGAGGTGGTAGGGGGAAAGTGCAGCTAAGTGAAGGGAGAAACAACCACCAGAGAAGCAGGAAGAGAGCTAAGAGAGTGTCCTAGAGCAGTGACTGCCTGTGCTGTCCTGGACAACTCTGCCACAGCGAGACCCCAGGGGCCCTCGCAACATCTTATCTCAACACAATGCCTCTGCTGCGTGAGTGTCACTCTGCTACATCACTCTCAAGTTACAACACGTGATCACCATACATCAGCCCACACAGTTATTCACCATCTCCAATTGTAAATTTTACTTAGAAGGACGGTATTCAGATATGAACGTGTACTGCAGTCAAACACTCAATTCGGGTCTTCTCACAACCCTGTGAGGTGGGCAGGGCACACAGACTGGGAAGGGTCCCCTGAGAAGTGCCTGCTCCTGTTCAACAGCTGTATAAACGTTAAAAACTGGCTGTGGAGGATTTGATGAGGATAGCTTAGCCCTAATCACAGAAGCTATCTACCAGAATAATTTTCTCTAAAAGGAAATCCTGAGACTGAGTTCACAGGAATCAAAAAGCTGGTTAAATACTCTCATCCTGGGGCCAAACCCAGGGCCCACTCGGGAGAGTGCGGCGCTGGGAGCGCCGAGGCCGCAGGTTCAGATCTTATATAGGGATGGCCGGTGCACTCACTGGCTGAGCGCGGTGCAGGCGACACCAAGCCAAGGGTTCTGATCCCCTTACCAGTCACAAAAAAAAAAAAAACTCTCATCCTGACTCATGATAAAAAGTCAGTCCCCAGGGCCGGCCCAGTGGCGCACTGGATAGTGCGCCGCTTGGGAAGCGCGGCGGCGCTCCTGCCCGAGGGTTCAGATCCCACATACAGACCGGTTCCCGCTCACTGGCTGAGCGAGGCGCGGGAGCAGCGCCGAGGGTTGCGTTCCCGTTGTCGGTCCCGGTCCAGTATGGGCGCAACACTGAGGGTTGCGATCCGTTGCCGGACACGGAAAAAGACAAAAAAAAAAAAAAGTCAGTCCCCAAACTTTAAATGTTCACCAAGTTTCCAGGTATTTAAAACATCATATATCGGGGCCGGCCCGGTGGCGCACTGCTACAGTGCGCCGCTTGGGAGTGTGGCGGCGCTCCCGCCGAGGGTTCGGATCCCACATACAGACCGGTTCCCGCTCACTGGCTGAGCGAGGTGCGGGCACAGCACCGAGGGTTGCGATCCCGTTGCCGGTCCCGGTCCAGTACGGGCGCGACACTGAGGGTTGCGATCCGTTGCCGGACACGAAAAAAGACAAAAAAAAAAAAGGAAAAAAAAATAAAAATAAAAATAAAACATCATATATCCTCTCTTAAAAATTGAGCATTGTGTTTGGTATATGGTAGGAAAGAGAGTGCAATATTATGAAATGCAGATGCCTGCTTTGTTTCTAATAGCACACGGGAAGCACATGTAAGTATCAAGGGTCACAACGAATCAACATGGAAAAAGGAGGATTTAAAACTGCACAACACACTCACATTTTTTCTCTCAGTAACATATCCTGCACAACACACTAACATTTTTTCTCTCAGTAACATATTGAAGAACAAGTCCTAGAACTTCTGCCGCTGCTGCATATACCTCTTTATGTTTTACAAAGGACATATTATTGACCAAAGCTTGAAAATATCTACAACAAATACAGAAAATAAATTTGCATAAAATAATCCATTCTGTTGTCTGACATAAAAATATAACAATTTTCTTCCTCATGTCATATTGATAGCACAAATTGAGAAATAGGAACATAAAACATAATGCAAATTACTTGTGTGAGTACATATATATGAACACATATTTCAGGGCTCTGACTTCACAACCAGACAGATCCAGGAGAGTCCACCGTCCAGGCACAGAGCTGCTGCAGTCAGGGCATAATGCAATGCTGGACACTACAAAAGTCACAGTTAAGGGCCGGCCTGGTGGCGCACTCGGTAGAGTGCAGTGCTTGGGAGTGCGGCGGCACTTGGGAGCACAGTGGCACTCCCGCCGAGGGTTCGGATCCCATATAGAGACCAGTCCGCTCACTGGTTGAGCGCGGTGCGGGCACGACACCGAGGGTTGCGATCCCGTTGCCAGTCACGGTATGGGCGCGACACTGAGGGTTGCGATCCCATTACCGGTCACGAAAAAAGACAAAAAGGGAAAAAAAAAATCACAGTTAAGGAAAGAGCTATCATCCAAGATTACGAAGCACTGAATCCCTTTCAAAAGCCACCTACTATGACAAGACAAGGACAATAGCATGATGAGCAAGACAAGGACGGGCGCTCACGCACTGTGTAAGGAGCCTCTGCAGGGAGTGTCACATTCAACTGTCAACCCTCACAGCGCCTCTGTAAGGCTATTCCCGATGAGGAAACTAAAGCTCAAAAAAGTAACTTGTCTAAAAGTAAACAAGTCCTGCTGTCTGGCACTGGCGGCTGGTGTGACTGGCAGCAGGAGGCCCACATGAAGGGCCAGATGGAGGCAGTGAAACACCCCCACAGAGATGGGAGGCTCCAGGGGGCAGGCGGACACCCACAGAGTGACCACGGTGTGAGCACTGACTTGGAGCTCCTCCACAGTAGGACGAGAGAGCACCTTTTTGTGATGTTCAAACCAACTTACAAAAGCCCCTTCCCTTCATATGCCACACCACCCCACCCTGAAAATGTGACCATCATCTTTCAGGGCAGAACAGGGTCAGGCTGGAACAGAGCAGAGTAGAGGGACAGAGCAGCCAGCATCCAGGGACATCTTCCTCGCAGAGACCCTGCAACTAATCCTGTCGTGGAGCCTGTGTTACTTCCAGGGATAAAAGTTGAAAATGTCAGTTTAGAAAATAAAAAGAAAATACCTAAACACCTCTTAGTTGCCAACACGTATATGGAAAAAATTACACTAATTTTTAAAAACCTACATTCATCATTCACTCCAGGCATATTTCTTTTTTCAAATCCAACTTTCTAAATTTAGGTAGAAATGTTTTTAACATGGATTCTGGTTCTCAAATTTATGAAAACTGAACCATTCCCCATCTGTCAATCCAATTCAGATAGATTTTTGCCTAAAAAAAAGTATCAAAGCAAAAAACACCACTGTTACCTGATGCTCTCTATGCCACATGCTGGGTCATAGGGAGGCAAGCCATTGGCCATTACAATGCCTAGTAACTGAATCCCTACTGCATTGTCTTTAGAACTAGGGTCCTTACTGGAAAACTTTTCAAATATTAACCTGAAACATAAGCATAAAGGAGAAAATAGGGATTGTCATATAATAAAATGAGAAGCAGGGAGACAAATACAGATTTTTCTATAGCTAATTTTCAGCGTAGGAAATATTTTTCTTCTCCCAAATCCAACACCCCTTCTTGCTAACACCCGCTTGTTCACATCCAAGTTATTCTAGCTTTGTAACATAAGCAGTTTTATATTTCTTATATTCTAATTATCTGCCCAAATTCTCCATTAGCTGACAGTAAAGAAAGTTTCAGCACACCTCTGACTACACTAAAAAGGATCAAACAAAAGTCCTACTGTTCACTCCTGGGCTGGGGCAATGCAGAGTACTTCCCTTGCCCAGCAAGGGGAAGCCAGAGGTGAGCTGAAGGACAGAGCAGGGACCGCTGGAGGGCACTGGTCCACCAGAGACACTGCCAGTCTCCAACTCTTGAGGTGGTGCTTTTATTAGTAGCAATACTACAGCCATATAAATGGACTCTATTTCAAATTATTTCCTCCTTCGATCATTTCATGTAATTATTTTTCATTGTAATCACTACTTACAACATGCTATATTTTAACCTAAATTTCTAAACAATATTGCAAGATCTAGTAAATGTATACCTGTAAGGGATGGATAAACAGTCCTTCCAGCATTCAACAAGGGTTTTTATAATTTCAAGGTTGTGTCTGAATACAGCTCTTTTCGGATGAAAGACATGTTTCATTAGGAAATGAAGCAGTCGATTTGCTAACACTTCATCTTTAGGGACCCCCTGAAAAGGTAGAGAAATTCTATATTAAAATGCAGCATTCCATCCTGGAAAGGCATTTTTTTCATTCAAAATTCCATTCATAAAATAAATCTGGCATTTTAACAAGAAGTCAGGCTCCTGGCTAAAACCATACATGTGATTTTCAGGGCTGATCACAGGCAACAACAAAGGCTTTCCCAGGCACGTGCTGAGGCTGGGGGGAGGGCTGCCTCCATGGAGACTTGGGAGCTGCGGCCTCTGGAGGGAGCTGCAGGCTCTGGAGGGAGCAACGGCCAAGGGCTTGGAAACTGCGGCCTCTGGAGGGAGCTGTGGTCAATTGCTTGGGCCCCTGGCCGGCCATACTCCTCGTATATCTGCATTCCCAGACTGGGGCCTCCTTCGAGTCCCTTCATCTGAGGCTGCAGCTGAAGTCCTCTTCAGGACAGGAGGGGGAACCGTACTTTCCCCACTCTGACTCAGCACTCGGGGCTTTTTGACTCAGCCTTTCTCCCTCAGACCACATCCCACACCCTTACCCCCAGATCCTAAAACTGCCGAAGGCTTTTGCTCCAGCTCAACAGTGAGACCCCATGTCTGTGCTGATCCTTGGCTAGTGCACTGTTCCACAGCAGAAAGTGGAACAAAGGGAGTCAGTGCTTTCTCCCTCCAGTTTTAGCCTCTTGCTTATGCTACTGTGGTGAGTGATGAAAGGATCCCCTGATGCTCTTTGCGGTGTTCTGTTGCTTCAATCAGCTACTCCACCTGGCTACACACTGGGTCGTAGGGAGGCCAGTCACTGGCCATTTATTATTAGACTAAGAAATCTAAATTTGGGGCCGGCCCAGTGGCGCACTGCTGTAGTGCTCCGCTTGGGAAGTGCGGCGGCGCTCCCGCCCAGGGTTCGGATCCCATGTGCAGACCGGCGGCTCACTGGCTGAGCAAGGAGCGGGGGCAACACCGAGGGTTGCGATCCCGTAGCCGGTCCCGGTCCGGTACGGGCGCGACACTGAGGGTTGCGGTCCGTTGCCGGTCACGAAAAAAGATAAAAAGACAAAAAAAAAAAAAAAAAGAAATCTAAATTTGGGTTACTGTGAAATAAACAAGATGGGCACATCCGGACACAAACACAGGAAAAAGCTGGATGTACACACATTATGTCTAATAAGGACTGTTCCCATGACATCCTTATGTGAAAACTTCTGTACACTATCAGTGTTCATGGTTTAAATGAACAGGCAAAGCTCCACAAGCAAATCCATGTGGGTAGGTGCCACACATGCTTCAGTACAACAGTCAGTCATCTGGCAGTCACGTCCTGAGCAATCTCTACTGTTAGGGATTATACAGTCTAAATTCTGGGAGAAAATAAACTGGCAAATAAATGCCAAAAAATCCAGGAATTCAGTCACAGCAGAAATCCTCAGAATCTCGCACAGGGGATCTGACATTTACTTTACACACAATTTTAATAAATCTGTTAGCTAGTTTCCAAGCTCCTAGCAAGTAAAAGCAACAAACAAAATAAAATAAATACCTGGCAGCTTAATATTAAAACCAAGGTCAGAGGAATTATCAAAAGCAGACAAAAGAAAACAAACCCAAAGCATTTAGTATACAAGCATCAGAGCAATATAACAACCAAAGCTAAACACAATGACTCTAAGTCATTAAGTGAGGTCTGAATTATCTGTCATATCCTCTGCAGGATTATCAGTAAAGAAATAATACATTACTACATAAAAGACATTATCAATCCTTACTGCAGGAGTAGCCACGCCTGTCCACGAAAGAACGGTAGCCACTATCTCAACCACCATGTAGTGAATTCCTTCTCCTCCATTGTTTTCAGAAACAGCCAGCTGCAGCAAGGGGCTAAACCAGTACTTTGCATAAGGGCGAAAGACCTACAAGATAATTTAAAACTCAAGTATCAAAGAACCGTTTTGAATAACCAAAATATTAATAACAGGAATATATCCCCCATTAGCTAACATTTTATATTATGACTTGACCTAAATCCAAAACAGATGTAAATCCAACAATTACACTACTTAATTGGATTAGATCGTCTGTTGAATAATCTTTTCACATGGACTCCTGAAAACAATTCAACGGATTTGGATTTCTTATTGATCTTCTCATTGCTTAACACCCTTTTGACACAATGATGCTCATAAGAATCAAAAAGTATTCTATATCGGGGCTGGCCCGTGGCTCACTCGGGAGAGTGTGGTGTGGATAACACCAAGGCCATGGGTTCAGATCCCATATAGGGATGGCCGGTTAGCTCACTGGCTGAGCGGCCGGTTAGCTCACTGGCTGAGCGTGGTGCTGACCCCCCCCAGTCAAGGGTTAAGAACCCCTTACCGGTCATCTTAAAAAAAAAAAGTATTCTAGATCAACTGAATAATATGCCCCTGTAGAAAATTCTACTTTTATTTCAGATAACTGCATAAGGCATAGAAAGAATGAGATTATAAACATTAGGTAGGTGCCTGTGGTTACATTTTTTTCATTTCTTCCTATATTGTACAAGTCATTCTGTTATAAACTTCACATGCTTAAGATCTCTGAAATCTAAATAAACAAGTCATTCTGTTATAAACTTCACATGCTTAAGATCTCTGAAATCTAAATAAACTGTATCCGAATACTAAATTCCATTTTATTTATTTTAGAAATTACAGGAAAATGCCACTTTAATGAAAAAGCTGTCTACTTTCTCAACCTTTCTAACTTCTCTTTTTCAACTATAAATATTTGGAAAATATGGGGACTTATGTACTCTCACAGCTTAATCTCTTTGATCTCAAATCTTTTTTGATCATACACCTGTAAGAAAACAAAAAGCACACTCGACCATGTATGTCTATAGGCTTATTTATAAATTATAGATATGAACCTCTTTAGTATGTTACTAAACTACATGAAATACTTGAAGGTTGAAATTAAAAAAAAACTAAATCCAAATATTTCTTTTAAAAAAATCCAAACATAAGTTCTACTCTTTTCCTCCATCAGACAATGACTGTCTAGAGCATTTCCTTTTGGGAACCAATGCCCCGACCACTCTGGGCTCCAGGTGGACACACAGCTCCAGAGATGTGTCTGGTGACATCTCAGAGGCCCCATACACTTGTGCGTGCAAATTTCCTTGTCAGCCCCCTACCCGCACCCAGCCCCACCAAAAAATCATCCAAAAAAACAAACATCCAGCTACCTTTTGGTAGCTATCAAATCAGCACTTTAAGAAACATGAGCTAGAACTCAAGTGTTACCCTGAGTGTTATGGATTAAACTGTGTCCCCCCCAAAAGCCACTGAAGTCCTACTCCTGAGAATGTTACCTTATTTAGAGATACGGTCTTAACAGAGTTAATCAAGTTAAAGTGAAGGCATTAGGGTGGGCCTCAATCCAATATGATTGGTGTTTTCATAATAGGGGAAACTTGCACATAGGACCAGATGTGTGGGGGAAGATGACATGAAGACACAGGAAGAATGCTGTGTACAAGCTAGGGAATACCTGAGGCCACCAGAAGCCGGGAGAGGCCCGCACTAGACTTTCCTCAGCCCTCAGAAGAAACTCTGCTGACCCCTTCACCTTAAACTGCTGGCCTTCAGAACCACTGTGTAGGTCCCTGGCTGTGGTGCCTGTGACAGCAGACTCAGGAGCTAGGAGTCAGGTTAGACCCTGAGGAAAGCATGCTGGCTGCAGTCCCAGCCCTACCTCTCAAAGATCCCCCAGCAGGCACATCTGCAGAGCTGCCTAGGAGGACTTCCTACTGATGGGCAAGGTGGATTATATCACCCCTCCACCTGGTGCCCTTTATGGCTCCCTACTACTCAGTGAATGAGCTGGACCCTTTGCATGGCCCCCATGGTCTAGTCCAGATGACCTGTCCCTCAGACACCTCTTGTCCAGACCATGGCCCCATGGTCCGTGTGGTCAGTGCAGACATGCTCAGCTCTCTCCCCTCTTCACACTGCACCTTCTACGCAGAACACAAATTCCCACTGCACTTGACCATGCTTAGCTCAAGGATCCTGACATGGTGCTAGAAACAAACTGATAAATTCAACAATAACTGAAAAGAGAGCCAGCTGCTTTTTATAAAGAGTTAACAGGAATATTTTCATCAAAATTTTTGCTACTGTAAACAAAGAAGGTTGGCAGCCCTGAGAAAGATGCCACATGCACTTTATGAAAGGATCACTTCTAACTCAACAGAGGTTAATTTACATGTTTTAAAAGAAAAGGACAGAAGAACAACGTTGAACAAGTAGATAAACACGGTCAGCTAATTTATTCATAGAACACAGCATCTTGCTCTGTGCCTTCATATCACCCTTTGCTATGATTTTTTAAGTAGATGCACAGGACTGCAAGGAACTGTTAAAGGAATAATGAATTACTCACCACTTCTGCATTAATAACAAGCTTGGCTAAGAAAAGACGGATATTTAATGGTACTGATGGGTTTCCCAGTTTGTCATGAAGAAACCTCATCCAAGGAGGAAGATCTCTTGGCACTGAACCCTGAAATAAAAAAACTCAAAATTACCTTAAAAAGTGAAATAAAGTAACTTCACATTTTGATGTTATGAGAAAACAATGACAAAGTTAGACATGAACAGCAAAAAGTCATGTTTACTTGATGTGTAATTTGGTTTAGCCTTCACTAAGATAAGTTAATTCTCAACACAATACCAATGAGCAGTATTAACAGAGGTAACGTGAGGTGAGGGGCACCTCTTCTCCTCCAGGGAAGCCCAGCCTTCTGTGCATGTGCTTCATCAGGGCTGTCATGGTGGTCATGCACTCGTGGCCATTGAGCTCGTCCATCTCCAATTCCAGGGTGTCTTCCTGGATCGTGGGGTCTGGATGTTCCTACGGAAGGAAGAATCCACTGATGCAGAGTGCACTATTAAAATGCCAGTGGATATGAGATTCTCTCATTCTGGACAAACTTAGGTGATAATGATGACTTTGGTAATAATATCAAATACACATGCTGTGTTTTCTTGTTAAACTAAAAAATAAATAGGATCTCATGCCTTCCTTATGTTCCATGTCCATATTCTCCTCTAACCCCCAACTGTGTGGTCACTCCCTGGAGTCACACCTCAGGTCAGCGGTCTCTGCTATATTGACCCCTGACCCCTGTCTGCATGGTCACTCCCTGGGGTTGCACCTCAAGTCAGAGCGACCTTCCTATGTTTATCTCTCACCTCCTGGCTTCATTTCTGTGCTGATCAAATTTGACTGCTGAGTCTACAAGGCAAAAGCCTGGGGCTTAGATCTTTAAGAATGCTCCAAATTAGTGCTACTTTCCAAGGACTACTGACAGACAGAGAACAGGCTTTTTCTAGTAAAGACAGGACATAGCTGTGACCCCCTTTCTTTGCAAATTTCAACAACATTCTTTAATATGTAAAAAATGATCACCCGTCTCCGAAAATGACCAGTGATAGACTTAGGGTCTTGAGAGCTGTATGAATAGCTCTGAACTCCAGTTGAGAAATCAAATTGACTCATTTCCTCACTCAGGCTACTGTCTGCCAAATACGACAAGGAAGACATATAATGAGGACCATCTGAAATACAAATAAGAAGAAAACACACATACTCAAACATAAGCAGTAAGAAGTATACTTCTCTAACTCAAATTACATTAAAATTGAAGGATACTTTTAACTAAGGCCTCACTCAACCCCATGATCTTAACCCATGGTAACGATTTACAAGGCACGAAGAAGACGGGCCAGAGGCCTCCCTTTGCTTTTGTCATTGTCATGCAGCTACTCTCTACTGTCACAGACAAAGAACCAAGTTAATCCAGATCCGATTTCTGGACATGACTAACAGAATTTCTTTGCAGTTAGAATTTTGATGATGGACATTTTGCTCATTATGTCTAAGATAAATGTGGGAAGAAATGCTACTGAAAAATTGCAAATCCTAAATACACAAGGAATTTAGAAAATTGGTCCAAATTTTATTCTCAAATCAAGAAATGGTGATACAAGCTGCAAAGAAAAATAAAGCAAAAAACTGAAATAAAGAGATGTGAAGGGATAGAAGGTTAATTTTAAATAGAGTGGCCAGGGAGAGCCTCCTCCAAAGGATGAAATGAAATAAAATGTCATGAGGTACACTGATATCTGGGGCTGAGGTTACTCAAGCAGTGCAAATGGCCTAGGGCAAAAGCAAGCCGGGCACCACACAGCACAGCAGGGGGCCCGCACTGCTCCGTGAGCAGGAAGGAGGGCAGCAGGGTCAGGGACCTTAGGCAGCTCGGTCCACAGGGAAATGATAGCTGCTGGGAGGTCTGGAACAGAGGAGTGGCAGGATAGAATGTGTATTCTAACACAAATTTCTGAATGTGTTTCATAACATAAACACATAATCCATACGCAAACAAAGAAACATCGAGCTAATCCTACATCTTTAAAAACAGTGTAATGTACCTGAGCCCGTCTGGCCACTCTGAGACCTTTTTATGCAGTTAAGCTTAGCTAATTACATTTCTTTCAAAATATAATTCTATTTGTCACTTAAAAATAAACATTTTTTTCAAACTCAATTTCAATGTTTTGAGGTTCTTAAAAGTATTTTCTATTTACAAAAATTATACCAACTAATAGCATCTTTCTCATCATTTTGAAATTTCCTACCTGGATCCCCATTTGCTGTTTCCCTGGCTTCTTTCCTAATTTCAATGTATTTTTTCTTTTTTTCCATAGGAACCTACGAGACAAAACAAATACACTATTTAAAATGTTCTAGAATCACAGTTACACTTTTTGTTTTAGTAGCAATATGCCAAAAAAACAAATTACTAATTTTTAAACAAAACTTTCATCAAATTTTAAAACACTCAAAAATATCCACAAAAAAGATGAGTGAATGTCTTTAAGAAATGCCTTACCCACAGACTCCAACAGAACCACCCACTCAGCTTTAGCACAGCTCATTAAGCACAGTGGATGCTGAGCTTTTACAAACACACACCTGGATTACCAATAGTTTTTACTTGACCTATGAGCCTCAGTTTCTTCACCTTTACGCTTAAGATACACCAGAACCTTTACAGCATTGCTGTAAAGTTTAGAAGTAAGACATAGCAAGTGTCTGGATGCTTAATAAACTGATGTTATTGTTTTTTGTTCTTTAGTTCTTCTAACACATGCCCAGAAAAAAATCCTAGATTTGTTCCAAAAGTTGCACAAGGCAGGAAGCAACTATTCATGTGCACTGGTGAACACTGTAGTGGGGGAGGCTCGCAGCTGTGTGGGGAATGTGCAGGACATGGTGTGTGAGCTTGGCTCTCTGCTGTCAAGGCAGCAGCCACCACCTTCTCAACAACTGCTGAAGCTGGCACGTCAGTGTGAGCGTGCCTAGAAGAAAACTTGCTCCATCTGTCACAGGAAGTCTTCTAGTTACCCATGACTTCCCCACTATCTTGCCAAGTTGTCCAAGCAAGGCCACAGATCATAATTCCTATCAGCACAGAACTCAGTTTCTTTCACTGGGGGAAATTACTCAGAAAAACAACTTCTGGGATATGTCCTAACAGGTCCTTTTATTGGCACTGTCTTTCCTTCACAGGTCAGGAGAAAGAAAAAATCGAGTACGGATGAATTTCATTGTAGTTGCCTGAGATTGCACCTCAAGCTGAAACTGCCGGTTTTTGTTGTTGCCAGTTTTGTAGAAACTACCTAAAACTGCCATTTTTACCAGACTTGAAAACAGACTTGAATACTGCAATTTAACATGTTCAACATAATATCTTTTTCTCTACGAGCACTTTTTTTTTTTTTAACTTAGAAACATTAAAAATTTTACTCACCTCAACTTCTATAGGAAATGTATAGCAGCGCTTCAAGTCTATCAGATTTTCAAAAATAAGCAAATTCTGTAAATCCAAAGAATCATATAAAAATATCTCAATATTGGAGATCCTTATTACTAATGCTACAATAGAATTAATGCTACTTAATAACTCACAGAGAAGCACTTCAGCATTAAAATACATGTATGCAGAATTAAAAGAATCATATCTCTAATATTATAAAAAAGTACAAATTACAATATAACTTTAATTGGTAAAATCTAGTTTTTGAAATCCTCGACTGACAGCAGTAGTGAACACCTCAGGAGAGGCCTACCTTTTCTGGTTTTTCACTGAACANTTCTGTGCTGATCAAATTTGACTGCTGAGTCTACAAGGCAAAAGCCTGGGGCTTAGATCTTCGAGAATGCTCCAAATTAGTGCTACTTTCCAAGGACTACTGACAGACAGAGAACAGGCTTTTTCTAGTAAAGACAGGACATAGCTGTGACCCCCTTTCTTTGCAAATTTCAACAACATTCTTTAATATGTAAAAAATGATCACCCGTCTCCGAAAATGACCAGTGATAGACTTAGGGTCTTGAGAGCTGTATGAATAGCTCTGAACTCCAGTTGAGAAATCAAATTGACTCATTTCCTCACTCAGGCTACTGTCTGCCAAATACGACAAGGAAGACATATAATGAGGACCATCTGAAATACAAATAAGAAGAAAACACACATACTCAAACATAAGCAGTAAGAAGTATACTTCTCTAACTCAAATTACATTAAAATTGAAGGATACTTTTAACTAAGAATAAACTGATGTTATTGTTTTTTGTTCTTTAGTTCTTCTAACACATGCCCAGAAAAAAATCCTAGATTTGTTCCAAAAGTTGCACAAGGCAGGAAGCAACTATTCATGTGCACTGGTGAACACTGTAGTGGGGGAGGCTCGCAGCTGTGTGGGGAATGTGCAGGACATGGTGTGTGAGCTTGGCTCTCTGCTGTCAAGGCAGCAGCCACCACCTTCTCAACAACTGCTGAAGCTGGCACGTCAGTGTGAGCGTGCCTAGAAGAAAACTTGCTCCATCTGTCACAGGAAGTCTTCTAGTTACCCATGACTTCCCCACTATCTTGCCAAGTTGTCCAAGCAAGGCCACAGATCATAATTCCTATCAGCACAGAACTCAGTTTCTTTCACTGGGGGAAATTACTCAGAAAAACAACTTCTGGGATATGTCCTAACAGGTCCTTTTATTGGCACTGTCTTTCCTTCACAGGTCAGGAGAAAGAAAAAATCGAGTACGGATGAATTTCATTGTAGTTGCCTGAGATTGCACCTCAAGCTGAAACTGCCGGTTTTTGTTGTTGCCAGTTTTGTAGAAACTACCTAAAACTGCCATTTTTACCAGACTTGAAAACAGACTTGAATACTGCAATTTAACATGTTCAACATAATATCTTTTTCTCTACGAGCACTTTTTTTTTTTTTAACTTAGAAACATTAAAAATTTTACTCACCTCAACTTCTATAGGAAATGTATAGCAGCGCTTCAAGTCTATCAGATTTTCAAAAATAAGCAAATTCTGTAAATCCAAAGAATCATATAAAAATATCTCAATATTGGAGATCCTTATTACTAATGCTACAATAGAATTAATGCTACTTAATAACTCATAGAGAAGCACTTCAGCATTAAAATACATTTATGCAGAATTAAAAGAATCACATCTCTAATATTATAAAAAAGTACAAATTACAATATAACTTTAATTGGTAAAATCTAGTTTTTGAAATCCTAGACTGACAGCAGTAGTGAACACCTCAGGAGAGGCCTACCTTTTCTGGTTTTTCACTGAACAGAAAACCTTGGTAAAATTTTAATTCACTGAAGACACAGCAGACAAGAGAAATAGCACAGTTGTATGCAGCACAATGGTAAAGTCTTCTCCTCTCCAGCAGTTGATTCTCCCCTGCCATGTTCTCTGTAAATGCATCATGGCACAATCTGCAGAGTAGATCCAGGTTACAAATTAATCCACATAACATGGAAATTACAGCTCAGGCTCAACAATGCCAAATAACAGGATCTAATCCAGTTCAGCCTTTCTTGAATGTCAGGCTTGTGCCAGCACAGTACTGGGCACGATATATTCCGTGGCTGGAAATATTTACTATTTGGTACTGGGAATATAAGATGAGCACGTCACCATCACATGACAAAAGCCACGTACAAGGGTCTCACTACATGGGGGTAAGTGCAGCAACAGCAACAAGTATGTCAGGTAAAGAGACAAGGAAGCAAGGAGACAGTCCAATCTAAGGAACTAACAAAGGGTTTAAGAGAAAATATCTGAGCTGAGTTTGAAACATCAGTTGGCCAATGGAGAAATGTGAGCACACATGATGAGCAGCGAGAAGCATGTTCACTTAGAACAAGGGACAGAACACGTGGCGTGTTGGGAGGAGGGCAGGCAAGCAGCAGTAACCAGCAGCAAGTGAGAGAAGGTGTGTTCCTGGGACAGCTTGCCCGCAATGCTGAGCAGCGTGGACTTCACCCTGCAGGATGGGTCACGAACCACGACTGATAGTGACTACTTCTCAAAACAGTTTTCTGGGAATATAGCCATGGCCCAGTCTTTTAGGTACTGTTTATGGCTGCTTTCACGGTACAATGTAGTAGTTGTGGCAGAGACTGTCTGGCCCACAAAGCCGGAAATATCTACTATTTGGCCCTTTACAGAAAGTCTGTCGACCCCTGCTGCTGATGACCAGATGCCATTGAAGGGTTTTAGGCAGGGAAATGAAACAATGAGACTTGTGTTCTGGCTGTACTATCATTCTGGCAGCAGTATGGACAGAATGGAGAGACAAGCCCAAAGCAAGGAGAGTGGTTACAAAAGAAATGACTGGACTGCAGTGGCTTGCCGAAGAAGTCCCGACATCAACACAGGTAGGACAAAGGGGAATGCAGACAGGGGCATGGGTTTTAGGAATACTGAAAAGATAAAATCTGCCAGGTTTGGGTGTGACGTCATTCACTGAGGTCAGATAAGAACTAGGGTAAGAGAAGTATAATAAGATGTTTGTTTAGAGATGCAAAATGAGATACTGCAGAGCCTGTGTTCAATATTTACTAGGAGGGGAACTTCATTAGAAGACTAGTTTTAGAGAAAATGTTTTTTTTTTTTTTTTTTTGTCTTTTTGTCTTTTTTCCGTGTCCGGCAACGGATCGCAACCCTCAGTGTTGCCCCCGTACCGGACCGGGGACCGGCGACGGGATCGCAAGCCTCGGCGTTGCTCCCGCGCCTCGCTCAGCCAGTGAGCGGGAGCCGGTCTGTACGTGGGATCTGAACCCTCGGACGGGAGCGCTGCCGCGCTTCCCAAGCGGCGCACTATCCAGTGCGCCACCGGGCCGGCCCTAGAGAAAATGTTTTTGATTACTTTGTGTTTTATAGAATGCCTATTAAAAAAAATTTACCACGCCTTTAATTTCAAATGACAATCTGAAATAATAAAATACCCTAAATCCTTTTTTACTATAAATCATACCATTAGAAATATATCAAAGCTATTCAGGGGGAAAAGATGGGGAAAAAAACAGTAGAAGAAAAAAAGTTTTATTCTTTATAAAAGATGAGGCAGGATAAAACATCTGTTGTCTAATAACATGCTAAAGTTCATCTAAGTAGTCTGTGGCATTAAAAAAACCAAAAAAACTACAAAAGTACAGAATTTAAATAAAATAAACATTTATTCATATTATATACATGCATAAAAATATATGCATCATGTTCTCACTCACATGTGGGAGCTAAAAGAAAAGTTGAGTTTTTATAGTAGAGATTAGAACTGTAATTACTAGAGGTTGGGAAGGGGAGGCGGGGAGAAGGGATAGGGAGAGGTTAACTGATGGACACAAATTACAGCTAGATAGGAAAAATAAGTTCTAGTGGTATACATTAGTACTAGGCATCCACAATGAATAACAATTTATTCTATTTTCTCAAATGGCTAGAAGAGAGGAGCTCAAATGCTCTCATCTAAGAAATTATACATTTTTATGATGAACAGAGCTAATTACCCTGATTTAATCACACACATTGTATACATTTATTGAAATATAATTCTGTACCCCATAAATATGTATAATTAATATATGTCAATTAAAAAATACATTTAAATATATATATATATATTCACCAAAAATATTAATAAAATAGAATCCGAAATAAAGTAAAATCTTACTTAATCAGTGTCTTTGTAAGTTCGCTTCCTTCTATAATGCATGAGCCATGAAAAACTTGATTAATTTTAGATTCCTTAGAGTGAACATCATCTTTTGGAAGACGACAATACATCACATCCAGCATCTTATAATAGCCCATCTTCTTGGTGATTTGAGTATCAAAGGTAGATTCATTTAGCTTAAAGAAAGTGATAAATAATTATCTTTAGTTTTACCAAACATAAAAAATATATTATTGAATATACCAAATTTAATACTTAGTGCCCTTTAGACAGAATAATTTTAAGTTGTAAATGCTAAATCACTTCAATAAGAGAGCACCCAGTTGTCCAGTGTCTAAAATATGGACAAAAGCACTGATGTGTTATATTGGATGAAACAGGAAACAACATTTGATGTCCAAACAGTGCACCCAGGGTTTATAATATTTGCACAGAATCTTACTGAAGGTATAAGAAGAGCAAGCAGAAGTCCAATGTATTACAACACCAAATTTTTGGCTATTTTGAAGTCTACTTTAACAATGTACCATTTGGGTGTTTACGGTGTTTCCCAACAGGATTTTATGGGAGGCCAAATGATGCCCTCATCTCCACACCACAACAAATGTCAAAAGATGTCTTAATCCCTGGAACCTTGTGAATGTAAGCTCATCTGGCAAAAAAGGACTCTGCAGACATGATTTAGTTAAGGACCTTGAGATGGGGAGATTGTCTGGATTGTTCCAGTGGGCCTCAAATGAAATCACATGCAACCTCATCAGAAGGATTAGAGCAAGATTAGACAAACAGGAAAAGGCGATGTATGCAGAAACAGCAACTGAAGTAACATCAGCACAGCCCTGGAAGGCTGGCAGCCACCAGAAGCCAGAAGAGGCTTCAAGGAAGGGCTTTCAGAAATTTCTGTTTTGTCTATAAATCTGTAAATTGAAATGCAGAGTTAGTTTCCTCCTGTATAACTCAGAATTTCTAAGCCACCAAGTTTGTGGTAAGTTGTTACAGCAGCCACAAGAAACTGGTGCAGATCCCATGGAGATACAGACTGCTATCAAAACATGGAGGGGTGCGGGCCACACCGTGGCTCACTCGGGAGAGTGCAGTGCTGATAACACCAAGGCAACGGGTTCGGATCCCATATAGGGATGGCCGGTTGGCTCACTGGCTGAGCGTGGTGCTGACAACACCAAGCCAAGGGTTGAGAAAACATAGAGGGGTGCTCCTTGAGCAGCAGGGACCACATAACTGAGCACACAGCAGTTTCTAATGACACTGGTCTAGGAGATGTGTCAATTATCATTAATATTTAATTCAGTAAGGTGTATGGTACCTTTGTAAACCTTGACTTCAACACATCGACGGCATCCACCACAATCTCGCTAAAGAATGCTCTCAAAGCGTCCAGGCTACAGTGCCACAGCAGAGTGAGGAGACGACGATCCACAAACGCTTGGCGAATGAAGTTTGAAAGCAGGTCATCCCTCCTGAACATTCTGTACACACTTTCCAGAAGGCTCACCTGTGTGATGCACGAACTCCTGAGGAAAGAACATAAGATTGTAAGTGCCTACTACACAACAGGCAAAGTCAACTCCAATGACCGTGAATCACGAAAATAACTTTATGGAATACATATACAAAACCCATGAAACACAAAAAAACATCTGCACATGAACCATACTTTTTATTCATTTCCAAGAACCCTCAAATCAAATGCAGGCATCAGGAAGAAGAATATTTTTATTTACTCTCAAATCTGATCTTGCTTAAAGAACATCTAGAAGGCTCTGGAAGAATCTCAGTCCTAAACATGATTACATCTCCAGGATGCGAAACTCATGAGTTATGATTTAAAATTCTATTTTCTCTCTACTAATGTTCCACAATTCCTATTTCCTATAAAGAGATATGCCCATCTGTCCACCCTTTATTTTCTCACCTGGAAAATAAGATATTTAAATGATCACCTATAAGGTTTTATCTAAAAATCTATAATTAAGAATGCAGAGTTAGTGTCCTCATCTATAAAATTAAGGGGTTAGAACTAAATGATCATTAAAATTCTGATGCTCTTAAGTTAGATACTAACCAGGGTAAAAATATTAGATTCAGAAGGTAATTCAGTCATAAAATGTTATGGTGGTAGGACACTAGAGCCACAGAGGCTTTGCGATATTCACTTGGACATGACAATAGATTGAATGTTTATGTCCCCCCAAAGTTCATGCCAATGTGATGGTATTTGGAGGTGGGGCTTTTGGGAGGTGATTAGGTCATAAAGGTGGAAACTTCATGAATAGGATTAGTGTCCTTATAAGAGGAGGCCTCAGAGAGATACCCTCACCCCTTCTACCACACAGTGAGAAGACAGCTGTCTGTGAACCAGGAAACAAGCCCTCACCAGACACTGAATCTATGGGCGCCTTGATCTTGGACCTCCCAGCCTCCATAGCTGTAAAAAATAAATTGTTGTTGTTTATAGGCCACCCAGTCTGTTGTATTTTGTTACAGCAGCCCAAATGGACTAAGACATGCACTGTCCTCGATTTAACTTCTCTTGATGAGCTTTCTGCTAGTGAGCAGAGTGGAAAACATGTGCTCCAGCCTTAAAACACTTAACTAAAGGACAGAAAAGAAAAAGCAAAAGAAGAGGAGTAAAATTCTAATTCTAAAATTGAACCAACAGCTGGTCTAACAAAAATACATGCAATGAACACTGAATATGAAAATATGTTTTATTTCCCTCACAATTAAAGAAACACAAATTAAAGTAACAAGAGATCCTTTCTCATCTAAAAATTAGAAAAAAATCCAAATGTTTGAGAACATCCTCTACTGGCAAGATGGTGGTGAAATAGATAGTCTCGTGCATTCCCGGAGAGAATGCAAAATAATACAGCCCCAAAAGAAGGGATGTGGAGATATCTAAGAAAATTATAATGCATCTATGATGGAGTTTGGATGTGTTGTCTCCTCCAAAACTCATGTGGAAATTTGATCTCCAATATGGCAGTGTTGGCACCTTTTCTCTCCCTCTTACTTCCTCTCTCTTGCTTCCTCTCGCCATGTGATCTGCTTGTACCCACCGGCTGCCTACCACTTTCCGCCATGAGTAGAAGCAGCCTGAGGCCTGTGCCTGATGCTGGCTGTCCCAGAATCGTAAGCCAAATAAACCTCTTTCCTTTATAAATCACCCAGTCTCAGGTATTCTGTTATAGCAACACAAAACAGGCTAAAAAATCTACCTTTTTCCTACATTTAGGAATCTACCCCAAAGAAACAATGGCAAGACAGAAAATGTCATAAACACCACTGTTGCATTATCTTAAAAAGCAAAAGATTGAATCGAAAAGTCCATCGGTAGAGGGCTGCTTCAAAATATTATGATACTGCCTTGCAATGAAGAATTACACACTTGCTTGAAAAAAAGGAATGGGGAAAAAATCTGCTGATTTGGAGGGATCAAGTGGAGAAAAAGGAGGTGAAGAGGCAGAGGAGTAGCAGGGGCAGAGCAGCAGCAAGACTGCAATCCAGTGCACCGCACAGTTCTGACCCTAGAACCACACGCATGTTCTACATGACCAAAAGAAAATTACGTTAAAAAATGATAAACAACTTCTGCAATTCAAAAATTAATTAAAACAAGCATACTTAACTAATATAAAAACCACACAAAATTTGACTGTATATCTCAGACTATAAAGTCTTTACTAAAAATTATAAGTAAATTTTTTAAATAAAATGAAAATTTTTAACTTCATCCAGCTGTCATTATTCTTAGCAGTAATACTGTTATTGTTATTTTTGAAAGTATTTTATGTGTATTTTAGGATAAAACAACTAAGTAATGACAGAATGTTATTAGAAACAATATTATAAAGAAAAAAGAGAATAAGATATACAGTGTAAGGAAATAAGAGAACAAGAAAAGTTAAATTAAAATCCTATAATATTAAGTTTGAAAGAGAAATAAAGAATAAGGGAAAGAAAAAAGCATAAGAAAAGAAACTTAAAATCCCATAAAAGAAAAAAAAGAGTAAGAAGTGGAAAAACGAAAACAAAAGAATAAGATACAAGGAATTTAGTAGTAAAAACTTCATTTGCATTTTTTTTTTTTGCCTGATTGCACTGGCTAGAACCATCAGTATTATGTTGAATATAAACAGACAAGTCAGATATCCTTGTTTCATTCTCAATTTTAGAAGGAAAGCATTTAGTCTCCCACTATTAAATATTTTGTTGGCTGCTGATTTTTTGTAGGTTACCTTTGTCACTTTTATCATGAATGGATGCTGGATAGTGCCAATTTTTTTTTGTGGCTATTGCAACAATAACGTAGTTTTTGCCCTTTTGCTATTCATACAGTATGTAAAACTAGTTGACTTCCAAGTGTTAAACCAGCCTTGTATTCCTAGGAAAAGCACCAACTGGTTATGGTGTGTAATCTGTTACAAATACGTACTGTTGGATCTGGATTGCTGACGTATTTTTTTAGGGTTTGTGTGTCTCTATCCATGAAGAATATTGGTCTTGTTTCCTTGTGGTGTCTTTTTCTGGCCTTGGGATCAGGGTGCTACTTGGCCTCATAAAAGGAGTTGACAGTGCTCCTCCCTCCTCTGTTTTCTTAAGAATTTATGAAGTATTAGTAGTATTCCTTCTTAAATATTTGATAAAATTCACCAGTAAAGTTATCTGGGTCTGGGCTTTCCACTGTGGGAACATTTTTAATTATTAATTCAATTTATTTATGTGTTAATGGTATATTCAGAATTTTTTTATTTCTTCTTGATTCAATTTTGGTAACTTGTTACTTTCTAGGAATTTGTCCATTTCACTTAAATTGCTGAATTTGTTGGCATAATATTTTCATAATATTCTCTTACAATCTTTTCAATCTCTGAGAAGTCAGTGGCAATGTCTCTCATTCCTAATTTTCATAAACTATGTTCTTTATTTTTGGTTAGTCTAGTCAATTCCATTTATCTTTTCAAAAACCAATTTTTGGTTTCACTGACTTTTTTCTCTATCATTTTTTTTATCTGGTTTCTATTTCATTAATTTTCACTCTAATCTTTATTATTCCCTTTCTTTGGCTTGTTTTTGACTTAGTTTTCTTTTTCTTGGCCAGTAAGGGGATCGCAACCCTTGGTGTGGTGTCGCCCACACCGCGCTCAGCCAGTGAGCGCACCGGCCATTCCCATATAGGATCCGAACCTGCGGCGGAAGCATCGCTGCGCTCCCAGTGCCGCACTCTCCCGAGTGCGCCACGGGGCCGGCCCTCTTTTTCTAAATTTTAAGAGAAATCTTAGATTGCTGATTTGAGATTGTTCTCATTTTCTAATATAAACATTAAAAGATATAAATTTTTCTCTAAGCACTACTTTAGCTGCATCCTATACATTTGGATATGCTTTTTTCTTACTTTATTCTGATCAGAATACTATCTGACTTCCCTTGCAATTTCTTCTTTGACCCAAGGGTTATTTAGAAATGTGTTGTTTATTAATTAGATGGTTATTTAGAAATACTTTCAGTTTCCCCAACTTCCTTCTTTCATTAATCTCTAAATTAACTTTATTGTGGTCAAAGAACATACTTTGTATGATGTCAATCCTTTTCAAGACTTATTTCATGGCCTAGTATATGGTCTGTCTTGAAGAATGTTCCATGTATTCTCAAAAAGAATATATTCTGTGCTGTTGTGCAGAATGTTTTACACTTGGTTAATCATGATATTTTTTAAAGTGTCGATAAAAAGGAGTGAACTATTAATTCATGCTATATCACGGATAAACCTCAAAAACATTCTGCTGGAGAAAGAAGCCAGAGATAAGAGATCATATATTGTATGATTTTATTTATATGAAATGTCTAGAAAAGGCAAATTTATAAAGACAGAGAGTAGATTAGTGGTCACCGGAGCTGGGGCTAGGAATAGGAGTCAACTGTGAATGTTCACACAGGATCTCGCTGGGGGAATTAAAATGTTCTATGATAATGGTTGCACCACCTGGTAAAGTTTCCAAAAATCACTTAATTGTATACTTAAAAAGGGTAAATTTTGTAACATGTAAAATATAACTCAATAAAATAAATTTACATAAACATTTACAAATTTAATATAAATAAATGGCAATTTAAAAAATCATCGTACGTTTATAATTAAAAGTAGCCATGGTGCCTGGTTCCAGTCAAGAAGGCGGAAGAGACAGTTCCCAGTGTCACTGTCTCCCACAAATCAACCAATTCACAACTATAAAAATGTACCAACAGCCAAACTGGGACCACTGGAGTTCAGGGGTAGAGGAGAAGAGACCTATGAAGTCATGCAGGCGGCAGAAACCACGATTAGAGAAAAAAAAAAAAAACTGCTCAGAGCGTTTTGTGCCACAGCTGCTTTAAGGCTGGAGTTGATGAGTGCATGGACCAGGAGCCAGCAGAAGCCACAGCTGTGCCCTTCAGATGGAGTTACTTGGAGGCGGCAGGGGAGAAGATGGCCTTGGCAGTCCACAGGACAGCAAGACCACTAATAGGGTTCCCATGCACACAGGCAGGAGGAAGGAGCCAGAACAACTGACAAAAGGGAGCCATTCGAAGGCCAGTGAGTCATCACAAGGGACCGGCACAGGGCCCGTCCATGGGAAGTGTTTGGAGTATCGGCGGTTGGGTAGACGTGCCTACCAGGAGAACAGTGGGACACAGCAAGGACAGCCGATCAGCCCCCCAGTCAGCACAGGATCACTCAGAGGAGACTGGTCGGGAATGCAGAATTGCATGGAGTGCAGTTTGATGAAAAAACTCAGGCCCAGATCAGAGTTTCTACACAACACAGATCCACCTGGTCTCTGGAGAGCCAGAAGTACATATAAGGTCAACCATTAAACCTTGAGCTGCACAAAAAGCCTTCCCTAGGGAAACAGCAGCAAAGCAGCAATTTAACTCAACCACACAGCTCAAGTACTGGTCCCCACAGGAAGTTCCTCCATTTTAGATGTAAGCAAAGGACAAAAAATTAGTTCCAGCCCAGGCACACCACCAGCACCATGGGGTCTGCCTGGGAACCAGAGTCTTGGAGCCGGGGACCAGACCCCACTCCAACATCCAGACACACCACGCCAGCACCTCAGGGTCCGCCTGGGGACCCAAGGCATGGAGAAGGGGACAGGACCCCCCTCCCACAACCAGGCACACTGTGCCAGTGCCTCAGGGCCTGCTCCAAGACCCAAGGCATTGAGAAGGTGACTGGACCCCACTCCCACATCCAGGCACACCACTAGCGCCTCAGGGCCTAGTCGAGGGGCTTGGAGCATGGAGTCAGTGACCAGGCCCCCATCCCACAACCAGGCACAGCATGCCAGTGCCTCAGGGCCCACCCAGGTACCCAAGGAATCAAGAAAGGGACTGGACCCCCACTCCCACAACCAGGCACACTGAGCCAGTGCCTCGGGGCCCACCTGGGGACCTGAGGTATGGAGCCGGAGACCAGACCCTCCTCCCACAACCAGGCACACCATGCCAGCACCTCAGGGCCCGCCCAGTGGCTCAAGGCATGGAGAAAGGGACCAGACCCACCTCACACAACCAGGCATACTGCGCCAGCACCACAGCACCTGCCCGGGGACCCAAGGCATGGAGAAGGGGACCGAAGCTGCCTCCCACAACCAGGCACACCATGCCAGTTCCTCAGGGCCCACCCGGGGACCCAAGGCATGGAGAAGGGGACCGGACACACCCCCACAACCAGGCACACCATGCCAGCGCCTCAGGACCCACCTGGGGGCCTGAGGCATGGAGAAGTGGACTGGACCCCCCCTCCCACAACCAGGCACACTGCACCAGTGCCTCAGGACCCACCTGGGGACCCGAGTCAGTGAGAAGGGGACCAGAACTGCCTCCTGCAACCTGGCGCACCACTCAGTGCCTCGGGGCCTTCCCGGGGACCTGGGGCATGGAGAAGAGGAACAGTCACACCCCACAACCAGATACAATGCCAGCTCCAAGGAGCATACCAAAATCATCCTCCATGTGAGTGGCCCACCACAGCCACCACAATAACCATGGCTGCTACTAAAGCAACTAGCATGGAGAAGTAAACTGGACCCCCCCTCCCACAACCAGGCACACTGCACCAGTGCCTCAGGACCCACCTGGGGACCCGAGTCAGTGAGAAGGGGACCAGAACTGCCTCCTGCAACCTGGCGCACCACTCAGTGCCTCGGGGCCTTCCCGGGGACCTGGGGCATGGAGAAGAGGAACAGTCACACCCCACAACCAGATACAATGCCAGCTCCAAGGAGCATACCAAAATCATCCTCCATATGAGTGGCCCACCACAGCCACCACAATAACCATGGCTGCTACAAAAGCAACTAGACACCACAACCACCACACAGAAAGTCCACCAATCACTGGAGTGCACTGACACAAGGACAGTCACTAGCAGAGATAAAAGAGGAGGATGTCTCTCTCCACAAAGCCCATTTCAGAGTGACAGTAGAAGCATCTGCTCTATGATAATATTGGGGGACCTGATCATACCTCTCAGCATTGGACAGATCATCTAGGCAACAAATTAACAGAGTAACCATTATTCTTGCAGAAGATAATCTAGAGTAATTAGAGTAACCTAGAGTAATTAGAGGGGGGAGTTGGGAGGGGGGGCGTGGGGGATGGGGAGAGATTGGACAAGGGGCATAAAAAATAATTATGATTTGTAACAACATATATGCTAGTAATACTGATTTGATCAACATATCTCAGTGTTGTCGTATAACTTCGTATAATGTATGCTATACGAAGTTATTACGAGAGAGATACCCTATCAATTTTGATTCAATAAATAAAAATAAAACAAACTAACAAACAAAAAAAGCAGGCATGGCATCAAGCCTGTACTTTAAAAATCAATAATCAAATATGTCCCTCATTTCCCACTGTATTTTTACTTAAATACTAAATTGCATTTGAGATAACCATAATGTAATTCCTAATCCTAGTGATGAGGACAAGTTCTTCATCAGTGTAATTCTAGCTACTTAAGTTAGAAGGAACAAAAGAATCAGAAAAATGGCCACTTGCACCTCCTAATGAAATAACTGATTCAGGGCAACTGTCATAAGCAGATGCTAAAACCAATAGGAAGATGCTGTGAGGAACATGGACGATCCCTCTCAGCGTCACTCCTGGCAGGACCACCAGACATTATGTGCTGCTAATGCCATGAATATGAAGTACAGAGCATCAACTATTAAGCAGTCTTCCCAAAATTTGAACCTGAATCTAATTGAGCTTTAGACTTAGATTTCTATTTACAGAAAACACAGGGGCTAGAGGAACAAGATAAAGAAAAGAACAGGAGAGAATAAGATAAATCCAGAATGTAAGACATCATAGAGGACAAGTGTCCAGGTTTCTTCAACAACAAAAGAAAAATTAACAAAGTAGGGGACTGTTCTAGATGAAGACATATTTAAGAGACGCAACAGTGAAATGCACATATGAACCTTGTTTGGATCAAAATTCAAATAATTCAATGGTATAGGACCATTTGACAACTTTGTTCAGCTGATAATGGTGTTAAGAGCTATCTAGGAAAATAGCTTTTTTTAGAAATATATAAAGATTTAGAGGTGAAACGGCATGGCGTCAGAGATTTGCTTTAAATTATAACAGCGGAAAGAAAAAAAGATCAAAGAGGGAATGAAGCTGGGAAAATGCTGATGATTGTTCAATCTACAGCCTCATCTATGCTTCTTCTCTAGCGCTGCATATGTTTGAAAACTTTTGTAATAAAAGTTTGTTTTGTTTTGTTTTAAAGAAAAAGAAAAAAATATTAGTGGCAAGAGTTGAGTGCAATTACTACTCAACTTTTTTGGAACAGAGATAATTTCCCACATAAATAAAATGTGTGTGGTTCCTGGAACCCCAGATTAGAATAGAATGACTTACTTTCTAGCAATCTTTTTGAAAGTGGACTGAAATAATTCTTCCATAATATGTTGCTGTTCCCGACAAAGAATTTCTGTCATCAACTGTAGCAATATGGGACTCTGAGATAATTCCAACGCATCTAGAAACTAGAAAAAACAAAAACAAAAAACATCATCATCATCATCAAAATTGTTATTTTTGTTTTGTTTTTAACAGCCCTAAAAAAAAATAGAAAAAAATATAACATAATTTCACAGAGAATTAACAATGCTAATATTTTTGTCATTGTTACAGACATAGTTAGTTAATGCCTGGTACATAATAATGTTCCTTAAATACTTGAGTTTTGATTCCCTTTAGGTTTTGCATTTGTTTTTCTCCTCTTTAGCCCCAGGTTCTGAACTTCCACAATGACGTGGCTTCGTGGGTTTTCCTCTTCTGCCACGCCAGGAATCCTCGTGCCCTTTCATCCAGGAGACCCGTGTCTTTTCCACGCCATTCTCTCTGCAAAGCAGCCGTCCCAAGCTGCTTCTCTAATGCTCTTGTCTTTACGTGCCCATCCTCCATCTTGATGTCTGTTTGTTCCACTTTCTAGGAGATATCCTCAATTTTATCTTCAGAGCAGAAAAGGTAAGTTTTTATTTAAATTTTCCTTTTACTTGTTTAATTTCTACAAGCCCTTATTTGTCCTACTTCATGGACACAATTCCTTCTGTCATCTCTGACACTACTCTGCAGCTTCTTTGACCCATTCTGTGCTCTTCTCTCCCTTTGATTCCATTCCTTGAGCTCCTTTTTCCTATTGGTTTGCATTTTTTCTTAACTTAGAAGCTTTCTTCAAATATCAATGACTGTTTGCATTTATGCTTACGTTTATTCATTTACGTTAAGGACGCATTAAAGATCTACTTAGAATCTTTGTGGATGCTAAAACCATTAGGTGACAGGTTGCTGGAGAACAGGATGCTTACGTGATACGAACATAATGGTGTCACGCCATCCGTTACTTGCTAATTTCAGAAAGAAATCACACCATTCAACAGAGAGATGAGGCAGTCACCACCTCAACCAGGCACCAGACTCGAGGTACTGTTGCCAAGAAGGTTAACCTGAATCTCATGACCAAGTTTTAAACCTAACTTCCCATTAGAAGAAACAGAGGATAGAAGAACAAGCTAAAAAAAAAACCTCAAGGAAACAATCAGACAAACAGGAATAACACCTAAGAGAAGTTCTCTAGTTTCTTTCAAAAACTCAGTGTTATAGAACAATAAAAGGGATGAGAAGTGAAGTGAACTAGTTTTAGATTAAAAGACAGTAGTAACATTACAATTTGATGCAATTGTTAATTAGAACCTGTTTTCAAAAAACAGCTATCCGTGGGGACATATGGAGAAATGTGGATACGGACTACATAACAGATGATATGAGAGGATTGTTAATTTTCTTAGGTATGATCATGGTATTGCACTTTATTCTTAGGACATGTGTGCTAAACTACTTAGGGATAAAGCATCATGTGCCTGAAACTAACTTGCAAATGTTTCAGCCAAAACAAAAAAATACACACATATAGATAAAGAAAATACATCAAAATACTAGCAATTGTTGAACATAGGAGATAATGACATGGATTTTATTTTTTCACTTTCAACTTTTCTGTATATTTGGAAAAAAATGATATAAACAGGATGTGAAGGAGAGAATCTGTATAGATGGGTGTTGATTGTAAACTGGCCTTTCCATGGGGCCACTTGGCTTCCTTTTGGACAGTGACTGGGTCCCTGGACAAGAGACCCAGTAAAGAGTTGGAAGGAAGCTGTAATGCCTTTTACAACCAGTCTCGGATGCCATGCAGCAGCACTGCTTCTACTACATTCTCGTCCTTAGAAGATCGTCTCCAAGTCCAACCCACACCCAATGGGAGGAAAACCAGATCTGCCTCGCAGTGGAGGAGTGAAAGCCTCGTGCAGCAGGAAGAGCACATAGACGGGCTGTGCTGGTGCAGTCATCTTCAGAACACAGTCTGCCAGGCCCACAGCAAGTGCTTATCTCTGCCACCGCATGCACTACAGCGGGTTCTAATCATCTCATTCCTTGTGCTTCTTCCTTACTCTACTTAGAAGCTCCTAGAAAACAATGTCTTGTTTTGGGATATTCTGGACATTAGCCCGGCGCTTAGTACGTCGAGTATGGCAAACCACTACCCCTCGCCCAACAGTCATTCTCCTATTTTTTCTTTAGCGGTCGAACCCCTGAATGCTAGTTGAGCACTTGGTCACCCAGAGTGAAAATGACATTCACAGCCTTGCCTGCAGCTGCACGTGGCAAATGGGTTATCAGCAACAATGAGCTGCAACTCCTGTGTTGAGTCCTGGAGGGAAGGATGTGTTCTCCACTACCCTTTTCTCCCTCTTGTTGGCTGGAAGGGAACAAGACAGCAGGAGCTGGAGCAGCCATTCTGGGCCAGCAGAAGATGTGTGAGCAAAAAGGTAAAAGGAGACGGGGTCCCTGCTGACTGCAGGGCTGCCCTGGGCTGCCAACCTAGACTTGTACAAAAGAGAGAAATGGTCTACCACCTGTGCACAACACTAGTATTTCAGAGTTTTCCAGCTGTACATTAGACAGTATCATCAACAACAACAAAAAATCAATGTTGTAATTTTACTTGATATTACTAAAAACTAACCTTTTTCAAGCAATCCACATAATTATTGTATCGCAAAGTTCCCGGGGGAAATTCATCAGACTTCATAGGGAAATTAGAAACAATAAGCTTTTCAAGAACACACTTAAGGTGATCCAGACTGTCTCCAGTAAGATTGGTGAAGAATGGAAGAAGAATTACAGCTTGACTCTGTGGAGCAATACAGACACATGAAATTGCACTGACTGTGGCTTACAGATCGTATAGAATAAATAAAATTACTGCTTTCTAAAGACTTTGCAAATAAAGCACTGTGTGGATTCAATGAATGACTTCAGAGTAACTTCTAGATCATATTAAAATCCAGCCTGAACATAATTCTGTTCCTCAACTTTGACTCTAGAGGTCAATCAGCTGACTTGGGCCATATATACAGAAATAAAGAAGGTACCGGGCTGATTCTGTGTGTGTTCTCTCCTTCTAAAAATAAAGAACCTAGAGGAAATGTATGGACAGATTTCGTGTGGAAAGAACATCTTAAATAACCTGTGGGATAATTTACAACTACCCGTTACAAAACTACCTCAGAACTTTACACTGAGCTTAACAGGAAGGAATTAGGTATTGATTTCTATCTTCCTTGAATGGCTGGTAAATTCCAAGCCTCTCTCATATGAAGAAATAGGAAACTTGATTAATCACACAGAGCAGAAAACTCCAAAGAATTATCCTCTTTATCCCTTTCATTAAGAAAGATCCCTTTCATTAGGCCACATTTTAAAAGAGCTTAAAATCTAATATATCTAATATAATCTAATAGTATAGAGGACTTTAAGATTAGCCACCTTAAAATTACAATATTTATTAAAGTCTTGACTCTAGAAATCACTAAGAGATTTTACATTATTTTTAATAGAAAAATGATTGAGCAATAGATTGAAGTTACTATAACGATTCCAAAAAGCCAATTTAAATCATATATGTGCAAAGACAAATGTCAGTTCTACCAAGTATGAATATCTCATGGCTATACTTTAAAAGAAATGCTCTCATCTCTTGGAGAAATATTCTGAAGCTTGTGCAGATCACATCAATTGAAGCCTGGGGTTTGCATCAGGTGGTGATGAGATTTGGAGTTGGTGAGTTGGAGTGACTGTACAGTTGAAACAAATATGCCCACACACTGAGGGTTGTCAAGACAGGGTAATAAGTACATGGGGTTAGTATGCTAGCCTATTTTTGTACATATTTGAAATTTTCCATAATAAAATTTTTAAAAATCACAAATATGCAAAAATATAAAAATGGGAAAGAGAGAATGTTCTAAAAAAAATATTTTAAAATTATTTACCTTTAAGTGTAGTCCCAACTTTGAATCGGCAAGTAAGCTAACATATGTTGTAAAGACTTCAGGGAAGGAGCTGTGATTTGTATGACAAGATACAGATGAATCAATCTAAATGAGGGAAAATAAAAACGTGACCATCTCTAAATTATGTCTCTACTTCCTTTAACACATTTTTCAAAAGTTTACATTTCAAAAATGAACTGCAAATTTGTTCTTGGGCTTCAACAATATTTCAACGATCTTGTTCTGAAACATTATACTACTATCTTTTAAGACAATGCATGTAAAGGCACATTAAACAGAGAAGGTACAAGAAACGATAAGAATAACAAATGATGTAAAATAATGAAAAAGTAAAAAACGTAAGGAAATCTGCAATCATCCTGTCAAAATATTTTTGTTTATCAAACCAATGAGCTTTTGAAGCAATTTCCAACAAATTTTTAAAGATACAAGTTACAGAGTATAAAACAACAATCATACTCTCTTTAGGTTTCTCAAAATACCTGTAAAATTTTTGACAGCAAGGCCAGCACTGCCATTTTACTCTCGGGAGCAGAATCCCTGGCCCACCATGAGTCACACTGCCTCCAGTTCTGCAGAATTGTGGTCACAAGTTCCAGTCCTTGGTTTTTCTGACTGGCTCGATCCCTGAAGCTCTGATCTAGCATACCATTCAAAATGGCACTCACCTGAAACAAATTTGTGGTGACTGAAGAAAAATTCTTAACATTGAGGATGGAAATAAAATTTCCTTTCATTTCAAATCTATTCTTGGAAAATAAAGATGCTATTTCTATTAAAGATGTTTATCTACTTCAAAACTTGCCAACTTTGAAAACAGCACTTGACACATAAATTTTCCCATAGAAAGCATAGGATAGCCTCATTTATGTCAATATGCCCATCCGGCGGCTCCTGGTTTTCTGAGTCTAAGGCATTTTCAGTGGAACTCCACTTGGAAGAATTAGCTCTCTGTCATCGCCATCGTCGCCACCACTGTGCACACATGTGCGCATGCACACGCACACAGCGCACATACATGCGCACACATGCACACACTCACAGCACATATGCTATTTCTTGTCCCACCACCACCTTTCCAACAGAGTGATATCATAGTTTTGGTTAGATTAACATTCAATATTCCTGTCATTTTGACAATGTAAACACTTTTCACAAATGCTTGAAGTAGTATACTACCAATACTTTTCCTTTCTTGCACATTCTGTTCACCCTGAAGTTAATCCTCACGTGCTTTCAGTGGCCATCGTGATTCATCATCAAACTCTCCCAAATTAAGCTGCTTCAAGCCATCTAAGCCCATCAGTAAGTTGTCTGCTCCACTTTTGTGGAACCCCAGCTCCTGCTCTGCAATGCCAGTGCCAGCTCCCCTGCATTGAGCCGATTTCTTGCATCCAACATCCTCCTCTTTCTTGGCTCACTGTCCTATTACTACCCACCCAGTAGCTTCGGGACAGGAGAAGTGCAGGAGATACATTCCTTTGGGATCTGGCATATCTGAAACATGGGCATTCTACTCTCAGACATAACTACAAATCCAGCTGGATTCGGAACTCCAGGCTGCAGATTTCTTCCATGAATTGTAGAAGAAATGTGACTCACAGTCCTGCAATGTCCACACTGCTATTGAGAAGACAAATGTCAATCAATTTCTTGATCCTTTTACACACAACTGGTTTTTCTCCTGTGGAAATTTTTCAGGATCTTTCCTCATGGTGAAAACCACAGGGGTCTAAATTCTCAAGAAATGAGTTCCATACGCAGCCATCTCCACACACTGTGCTGGCCACTCCACTGACCTTTTACATCTCAAACTCAAGGCCTTCATTCTGGGGGTCCTCCTGAGCTGTGTCCTCGGTGGAGGCCTCTCCTGGTCCTGCCCTTCAGAGCTGAGGTCCTGTCACCCAACCTTGTGCTCAGACCGCAAGGTTCCTCACTATTCCTCTCCCACTTTGTCTTTTCACTCTACTCTCTGTGAGAGTTCCTCAATTCTATCTTCCAAACCTATTTCATTTTTAACTTCTCATGCCTATGCTTAATTCCCAAGAGTTCTTTTTTGTTCTCTGACGCCCTTTTTCTGTAGCAACTCTTGTTTCATGGATACAGTACCTTCACTCACTCTGAGATTTTCTTTTTACATTTTCATCTCACTGAATGGTCTCTGCTACAAGTTGCTTTCCTCATGACTTCCCTTTTGGAATCCCTTTCCTCAGGTGCTAGGCCGCTGGCTGGAAGTGCTGTGCAGTGGGCAGGGCTCACTGACTGTGAGGATCGCTCTGCACTGACTGGGCTGGCAGCAATGACAGCACCTTCATTTTCTCTTAGGCCTGTCTGAATGTTCTGATGTCTTCCTGAAGGTATACACAGAGCTGACAGTACTCCAGGAGCCAGATTGGAAGAAAAGACTAAGAGCCTCAAAGTCTAGAATTTAGGAAGGCTTTCCTTTATTTTCCCTGTTTTCATGAAAGTATCCCTACACTCGACGATGCCTAGTGCCCCTGGTCCAGAGACACCTCTCCTCGCCAGAGAACCACCACCTCCAGCCTTCTCCTCAAGTGGGAGAGCAGGTGCCCTGGCAGGGGAGGGCTGACTTTCACCCAGTCCTCCTCTGCCAGCCTCCCCTCCACGTCCTACTGGGTCTCAGTATGATGCGCTGCCCATCTTCCTACCACTGGGGCACAGTGGCTCTCTTGGACTCTGGTCTGTCACACATGTCCTTGTGCTTTACAGTCTGTCACTCCTGAAGTTTGTTTTTCTTTTTCCTGTGTCTTTAAGGACTTTAAGATTGTGTTGTTATTTTTAACCCCATTCTATCATCTTAGAGGGATTTGGAGAAGGAGTACTGGTAAATGCATGTGTTTTTATCTGTAATTTTCACCAGAGGTCTCAATATCTGAAAGTTCAAAATGTTAAATGTCCTGAGTGTTGTGGGTTTACTACAATGTTATTTCTAACTTTAAGAAATACAAATTCCTAGTGCAATCTACCAAAAATACTCCCTACAATAAACAAGCACTGCTTGGAATAAAAGCTCAACTTAAGAAATTTTGCACTCTCCCTTAAAATGGTCATACCAACTGTTAACAGTTTCTGTCTACAGAGCAGGTTAAATTTCAGAATCCCGTAAGTTTAGTAAACCAAAGTCAACTATGTATATTAAATACTGGTCTCCAAAGACTCAACGTGAGGGGACAAAGGGTGATAGAGCAGGAATGTGCAGGAGATGATGGCTCAGCATGGAGACTGTGCAAGAGCCCAAGTACAGAAAGGGCTCTGGGAATGCGGGGACCAGCGCCTGGCAGGTGGAACATTAAGACAACTCTGAGCCTCGGGAAAGGTTTACAAGTGCCAATGGCACATCGTGGCAAAAGTCAATATCCTCTGTAGTTGTGCCTTTTAGTATTAGGCCTAGAGATTTGGGGGAAATAAAAGAATGGAAAAAATAATCGTTTCAAAGTTTGTTTTGTTTTTAAATATTAGCAAGAGGTTTTAACCTTCCAGGAAGAAATCTTGTTTTGTTTTAATAAAATATTACAGAAATGTGACAATCCTTTTACAAACATTACTTTAACTTGAAACATTAACTTGAAGGAAAATTTCATTACCATTTTGGGATTATCCACTGATGATTTCATGAGCTCCAATACAGCAAGATCTAGATTTTTCAACAACTCTGTGTTGATCGTTTCTGAGAACAAGCTGTAGAAATACTCTCCGTGGGAGAAGCTGATGATGCTTCTCTGTGAGCTGCCCAAGGATGGCACAGACAACACTGCTGTGTTCAGGAGAAGACTCACAAGGTGCTCACACTGTGAGGAAAGAAGCAGAAGGGACATGGCAGGGCACATCTTCACATGCTACAGAAAGACCCTTGGGTGGTGGATAACTTTGAAATCAGAAAATCACACAGAAGGGTCTAAAGAGAGCCTTTCAGGCAGAGCCTGGGATCTAGTTTAAATTGTAAACATTTCAATTAGCCTCCATTTTCTAGGTTTCCTTTTGGGAAAGAAAATATTCCCTGACTGATGTTTCTTTCAAATTTCCAGAAAATCTTGTTGTTGCTTTGAGGGTAGATTCTAGCAAGTGCAGATATTTTTAGACAATTTAAATATGTGATTGTCTACATTAAGTGGACAAGCAGACAAAGAAGAGGTTTCTGCTAGGGGAGAAGGGAAGACCGGACAGAGCGCCTGCGCAGGACTGGCTGCAGAGCTCGGCAGCAAGGGGGGGCTGTATGAGGCCAGTCTTGACAGTTCCCTTAATGTGCAGGGATCAAAAACAAAACAAAACAACAGGCCATGAACACATTTTTCTGTGGTGTCTCTGGGATTATCCTCCAGGGCCCTCCCGTGTCATCCGCCCAAAGAACCAGAAGGACAGGGGAAGAGGCCATGTATCAAGACAGGTCAGCTTGAAGGCCACAAAATGTTCTCTGCTTAGAGTCCTTCTAAAGACAAAAACCTCAATTTAAAAAGAATGTTGATATTTTATATAAAAAAAAGTGTTAAGAAAACAGTCTTTTAGAAATTAGTCAACGCATGTAAATCAATTACATACTTGTCCAGCTAAGACCTTACCCAACTAAATTCCAGTTTCTATAGACACAATGAAGTGTCTCTATATTTCTGTCTCTATATTTCTATTTCTGTCCATATATTTCTATCATTAGGAAAATGCAGCACGTAGATGTTTTTCCTACCAGTACTCCAAAAGCAAAGGCCAACTCCAGAAGTCCACTGGCCAGTTGCTTACAACTAGGGTCTAGAGAAGGCAGACACTGTCGCTCATCTCGAGGTGCGATTCCTTTATAAACGAGGGAAAGAACTTTTGTGCCAATAGAATGATGCAGATCTGTAGACTAAAACAAAGTCAACACTGAAATGCATAGCAAAGGATATTTTATAAAAAAACACAATTTCACTCCTCTCAATTAAAAACTCCATGTTAGGGCCAACCCCATGGCTCACTCGGGAGAGTGCAGCGCTGGGAGCGCAGCAGCACTCCCGCCGCGGGTTCCAATCCTATGTAAGGATGGCCGGTGCACTCACTGGCTGAGTGCGGTACAGGTGACACCAAGCCAAGGGTTACGATCCCCTTACCAGTCACAAAAAAAGAAAAAAAAAAAAAAAGCCCCCCTCCATGTTAGCTAACTCTGAAAACTGCTGTCAAATTTTCAGGAAAATTTAACTCAACTTTGCTTTCTTTTTTTTTTTTTGTCTTTTTTTCGTGGCTGGCAATGGATCGCAACCCTCGGTGTCGCGCCCGTACCGGACCGGGACTAGCAACGGGATCACAACCCTCGGTGTTGCCCCCGCTCCTCGCTCAGCCAGTGAGCGGCCAGTCTATATGTGGGATCCGAACCCTCGGCGGGAGCGCCGCCGCACTTCCCAAGCGGCGCACTGTAGAAGTGCACCACCGGGCTGGCCCCCTCAACTTTGCTTTCTATGCTGTATTTTTCATTTATGCTGCCTCATCACAAAGGCACAACAGCAATTAGTTCCTAATGTTTTTCAGAAGGCTGTTCTGGAAATATTCAAATGCCCTTTATTTTACGTTCATCTATAAATTTTTATATTTACTTTCATATTTGTATTCCAGATAATACGTATATATCTAGAGCAAATATTTCTGTAATTCCCATTTCAGCATGCTCAGTACATAAAGGATATCTAATAAAGAACATAAATAAGTACATAAGTTAGCATAATAAAGCTACTAGAAATATAAAAACAACTTGGTCATGCTTACCTCAGATGGAACTATTACATGCAAAGCACCAGCTCTGTGAAGCTGTCTGCATGCTGACAGGATGGAAGCCAGCCTGGGCCTGTTCACTTGAGCATCAGGGCCATACAAGTCAGCAGCACAAAGCTCCTCAATGCTGGCCACATGGGAAACATAAAAAGAAAACTAGGTGAATTCTGATCTTGTTAAATTATCAGGGTACATTGAAAAATGTGTGCATTGTTATTTACTTAATACTTGGCACTCAAATTCATTAACATGGTCCTGGGAACAAATACAGGCACTAATCTAGCTGTGGAAGTCAAGGAGGGAGCTGACCACATCTGAAGCTTGCTTGTCCCAGGCACAGGTAAGGCACCTGCTAAATACCTGACTTCCAGACAGCTAGTGACATCATATGCACCAAACACCCCACTGATGGGATCCTTCCTAGAGAAAGTGAGAGCTATGGCAGCCGCCAGGAGCACTGCAACGTGCTGTACCTTAAGGACCCCAACAGTGCAACACCCCAAGTGCCCACCTCTGCACTGTTATTGTTTCCTTCAGGTGAGTCTCAAGAAGGTCTCTACACGGGGACTTCTTCATTGCTTTCACCAGGTTGACACAAACACTAGGAAGATGATCCATAACCTGGACATCACCAATGTCAAAACCTATGCTCACAGGCTCACAGAGCATTTGCACTAAGAGTTTCACAAGGTTTGTGTTACACAAATCCTTTTCCAGGAGCTGTAAAAAACAGTTTGGAAAAAAAATAATAAAACACTTCTACCAGCCTGCATTTATATTTTCTTTCTTTTTTTTTTTTTTTTTTTTCCCCCCCCCATGCATTTATATTTTCACCA